CGCTGTGCAGACCGACTCTGGGGCCCACCCAGCCTCCTATCCAATGAGTACCGGGACCTCTTCCCCGGAGGTAAATCGGCAGGGGCGTGAAGCTGACCACTCGCCTCCAGCCAGTGCTGAGGTCAAGAAAATGTGGATCTATACATTCACTTCCCCATACGCCTTCATGGCGTAGTGTTTAATTCAGTTAAGCACAGGGACAACTTTACCGTTTTTACTCGCTTCTTCTCTTTCGTACTTAGTCCCTTTTTGGAGCCGAAAGTTCTTCATCGAAGTAGTAAAAGTCTTCACCAGACAATATCTGGAATTTGTTCAATACAGTCTACGTGGTCACAGCTACCTTTAGTTATTGTTTCCGCATAGCCAGTTTTAGTAATGTTCACCAGTTACGTTCAAGTCTCCCAGATGTCTTCTTCATATGCGATTTCTCCATAACGTACTTTGTAAAAGTATTGTTTCAACTGCACATAATACGTGGTCATATTAGTGTTCTCTGTTTAATTACACTGTACCAGGATATGTCTGTCAGTAAAGCTGTCGGCTGTGTGCTGGACGGCCTATATTCGATTCCCTTCAGGGGCAAGATTTCTTTTCCTTCGCCCCCACTTTCAGATCACCCAGCCTCCAGTCCACTGGTAATTGGGGGGGAGGGGCTCCTTTGTCAGGGATATCTATTTCCGAGGTTAAGGGTGAGCCTAGTTATACCTCCACTCCCCCATACGTCTTCATATTGTGAGGCACAGAGAGATTTACCTTACCGTTTGGATGTAGGCTGTTTCATTATTTAATAGTAGATTATATATTACAGTTACAAAAGAAAGAATTCTTAGAATTAGTCTAAATTTAACGTTAGTCCTCACAATAGGATAGGGCAAATTCTTGTCATTTCCGTACGCCTTCGGAAAAGTTTGACGTCGAGTTAATAGCACCAGTCGTATTGTGGATGTCATGGGTTCAGCTCTCTTCACGGATGCTGGTTATCTTGTTGGGATTGTTTGTGGTTTTCCTCAGTGACTTCAATCGAATCCTGAGATAGTATTTCCGAGAACGTAACGACCATTTATAACTAATGCAGATGAAAATCATAGCTGAGTAACTAGAGCTCAATCACACGGCGTATTTTCTCTTATTCGTCCTCAGTTTCATAGTAATTCCTGAAAATATGATTTCGTACTTTTCCAAACGACGACATTTTGAAGTATCGGCGTGGTACCCCTGTCCGGTTATAAACAAAAGTACAGCGCTCTGTGCTTCAAAACCGTTGGTATGTAACCGACTTCTAGCCTCCAAATAGGTTGTCGCATAACTCAATTTCCATAAGAATATGTCCAAAAGAGATATAGTCTTTTGAATTGGGGTTTAACTTCACCTTCCTGCTTAGCCAATTAAGTGAGTATATATGAGTATGTGACGGCCTCAGAGTTCCTGGCTACAGATCCAGCGGTCCCGGGTTCGATTCCCGGCGCTACCAGATTTTCTGGGAAGTATTGGGTTTGGAACGGGGTCTACTCAGCCTCGTATGGATAATTGAGAAACTATTTCAAGGAAATAGCGACTGCGATCTAGAAAACCGAAATTAATGGCCATGGGGATCCGTTGCGCTGAACACGCGACATCCTCTATCCCCTAAAGTTGGCACTAACTTCGCCGACAAGCGGCGGTCGCTCTCTCGGTATAGTAAAGCAGATCTTTTTGACGTCAGTAGAATATATCTGTGTACTATTAACAGTGTAAGATGAGGACCAAAGCGATCGCGCTGAACATAACAGGGCTTTTCTTCCATTAGGATGCCATCTCAGGGTACGACAGACCTCCAGAGATGTTTTTTACTATGTATACCTTCCTCCATTGAAACACGTTGCATCCTGTTCTCAGAGCTCAGTCGCCTAATGATATACCGATATCGAATTTTAGTAACTGTCTGTTCTGAGAACAAGAGAAATGTAAACATAAGTAGACCTAACCTGCAATCTGTGGACAGTATTTCGTGTTACTGAACGGTAACTTGTGCTGACAGGTCTAGGCATAGTCAACACGCACAGAACTATAAACAAATTTAGGTTTGAAGAAAGCAGTCTTCTGGGATGTAGCGCCGTGTAGATGTGGTGTTAGCCGACGTTTCGGAGGAAGTTTCGCCTCAATCTTTAATAATTTTAGTTGAATAGCCAAGTGCTTCTTAACGTGAGCCGGTGTGGGCGATGTGGGCGATGTGGGCGATGTTGGCGAATGTGAGGTTGAGGTGTAAGCATTGATTGTTGTAGTTGCATTTTCAGTTGCTGGAAATGATTTTTTAAAACAGAAAATGAATATGGTTCGATTTTGGAACGAAAGTTAATTTGGTTTCATGCCTGTAATGATGCAGAGCTTCCGTGGAAGTGAAGATACGGTGAACCGTCTCACTACTTCAGATGCAATTTATTCAGAACTACAGCGAATATTTATGAAAAGTAAAGGGAATTAAGACCGCACCAAATTACTGAAACTAGCGGTCTGTTATGTGACTGTTATTAGCCCTGTTTCTCAGAAGAGCCTGTCTATTCAAATTATGGATGACGATGACCCTTCTATGTTGTACACCCCTGTTATCAGTGAAGTCGATTTCCAAGCAATCAAAGAGCAACGGGGACTTCTTGTTGAGTATGATAAATTTCCTCAGTAGTTGATAAAGTTACTTCACTTTTATAACAGTGATGGGAGCAACTACCATCTCATTGTTGAAGAAGCAGTTGGAGAAACATTTGGGTCGCCCCAACTGTGATGAGGATCATTGAAACAGACCAATTCAAACAGCTGTGTCACCTCTGTCTCAGAATAAGCATAGGGACTGATGCTGAAGTTAAGAAGCACTTGTCTATTCAACTAAAATTGTTAAAGATGGAGGCGATACGTTCTCCGAAACATCGGTTAACACCACATCTCCATGGCGCTACATCTCAGAAAACTACCTTCTTCATAGTCACTGCCGTGAAAACCTCAAATCTTACAAATTTAGGTTTGTTTCAAGTTTCATTGCAATGTAAGAACTCTGTGATTTGCAGATGTAATTTTCCGGGACTGGAATTTGTGGCATCGTGTCAATTACTCTCAATGTCTCTACAGTTTATAATAGACTCAAAAAGCTCAGGGACAGTCACAAAAGCATAACGCCTGAAAGGCTTATATTCCTTTGCAACACTAACATACAATGAATGCACAATGGACAGATCATACGAACTACTCCCTTTATTGCCATTGAATTAGAAATCCTTAGTAAATGTTGTGGATACCATTTAATATTACTGCATTCAGATCGGCTATAATCCATATTTTACGTGAAGCTGAAATGAAGTTTATCAGATTTGTCGAAAACGGTTAATTGTACAGAAGATTTGTACATAGCAAGGAATGTAGAACCCGTTCATTTTGTTATATTTTAGCGTCCTGTTGCACTGATTTATGTCCATGATTTATTCTAGCCGTCTTACAGTGCATACACTCATCCACTTCACTCTTCACTCCCGCACTACATGTTTCGGCACAAAGGTGCCATCTTCAGGTGCTTTTCGATTTACGTTAAACTACTTCACTGCATGCCTTGCCGTCTTCATACTAAAATAACTAAAATATATGTTCATCATATATATTGATAAATATTAAAAATATTAAAACTGTTCAGGATTTTTTATCCCTACGTCGCATCTCAATACGCGAGTCACACCTATCCTCTTCTATCGGAGCACTCTTCCTACTTTCATGTGTGTATTGTGCTTTGTGTTGTGTCTTGCTCCTGTGACTGCGTGTGTTATACTGCTGGGCCTGCTGGGTATGTGTGTGTGTTCATTTTACTGACACTTTTGAAACGTAATGTTATCCTATTATGACTTTGTACAGGGCATAATTTTCAGTGCTATTATTTTTGCTATAGTTAAGTTCATCTACCCACCTAATCACCTGCCTACCTATGGCTCTACAGCACTTTGGACCGTGGCCTCTTTTTTCAGTTTCTCAGCCCTATGTATAATCGGTAGGACTCCAACAAAGGGCCGTAGAATGACTGATTATCGAACACTTTCGGCATTCTTTACCGATGCCCTCACATTCGACTTCAGCCCTAAGGTGCAATGCATAGGCAAATGTGCCACTTCTGTCAAGTTTACTGGTGCGCATCAATTCTTTGGCGGTAGGCGTGCAAGCGGGAAAAACAAAAGCACTGCATTTGAGTATAAGTGACCAGTGTATGTGAAAGATATATGTAGTTCTTAACATGGAAAGTACGTAGGCGAGTCAAATGAAAATCTTAAATATTTTTTGAGTATTATTTATTGTGCACAAGTGGTACAAAGCTGTATCACTTTTCAAAATAATCTCCCCCACGCTCAATGCAAGTCCTCCAGCGCTTACAAAATGCATGAATTCCTTTAGAAAAAAATTCTTTTTGTAGTCGGCGCAACCACTCATGCACCGCGTGGCGTACCTCTAATGTTTAAACTTGCTGCAATTTCATCCAGTGTCACTCGGCGGTTTTCCCTCACTATGGCTTCAACTGCTGCAGTGTTCTCTGGAGTCACAACTCGATGTTCCTGACCCAGACGAGGAGCATCTTCCACTGAAGTCACACCATTTGCAAACTTCCTACTCCATTCGTACACTTGCTGATGTGATAAACATGCATCACCATACTGAAACTTCATTCTTCGATAAATTTCAATAGGTTTCACACCTTCACTACACAAAAACCGAATAACAGAACGCTGTTCTTCCCTGGTGCAAATCTCAATTGGGGCAGCCATCTTATACTGGTGCTGTGACGGTGTTCGTGCATCTGCACTATTCTGCAACTTACAGGCCATTCTGCACGCTGTTTGTAGCACGCTTACCAACTTACAGGATAATGGCGTGAAATTTCGATTTTTTATTACAAATTTAAGGTTTTCATTTGACTCACCCTCGTAATAGTTGTACATCGGCTTCTTTTAATATTTTGAGGCTTTTTCCCATCACAAACTGATAATTTTTTTCAGGACTCGGAATCCAAGAAGTGTGAGAAGAAGGAAGTATCGGGGCCCCCCTTGCAGACTGCCAGCATGAGTGTACGTGCCCTTATAGAAGAGAAAATTATTCAGAAGCGCATCACCAACCCTCAGCTACAGACAACCCTTAGCCAGCAGCAGCAGCAACAACAACAACAGCAACAACAACAACAACAACAACAACAACAACAACAACAACAACAGCAGCAGCAGCAGTCATCACAGCAGCAACAGACACACCTAACTTATACAAGTGAGTGTTCTTGATGTTCTGCCTTCCCTGACCAGTGGTCCTTGAGCTTCTTGCGAACCAGTCCATAGTTAAATTTATGTGTGCCTACAAATTCTAGTTAGAGCCATAATAGGGGACCTGTGTATGTTTTATTGGCTAGAAATATTGCTGTGTTTATGACTATCGATATTGTCCCCCCCCCCATTTTCATTTACTTCTGGTGAATACACAGATCCTATTGGATACTGGTATAATATTTTACAGAAGTTTCATCATTAAGTAAGTTATAGTTACGTTTCTCTTCCTTAGGCCTAAGTACATAACTCACAGTATGATGATTTTTGACAGCATCATTTCTTCATACGAGTTCGTACTACACCGCACCACAAATTGATAGAGAAACGGCATTGAAAATTTGTTTCCACTGTAACATTTTCGTGAGCCCATCGATGCGAGTCACGTATATTGTTGATTCCGTTACGGGTGAAAGTAGTTTCATCAGTGAATGGTATTAATGGAAGCAATTGGCGATTAGTATGTAATCGGTGACAAAATTCTTGATGCATGGCACTGTCCCTTGGTTGTAGATTTTACACACGCTTTGAGTGAAAAGGGTACGAGCCGTCATCATGCAATGTTCGCTGTACACGTGTTCGTGATACACCGAGACGTGTAGAAAGTCTTCGCATGCTAGTAGTAGAGCTACGCTATACTATTTCAAGAATGTTCTCCTCCACATGTTGACGTGCTCGTTCAGATGAAATACTGAACACTGGGAAGCGTACCACGTTCACGCAATTGAACACCTTGGAAAACACCCTACGATCTGGTTTTCTGCGCATAGAAAACCGTCGACGGTATTTTTCAGCAGCAGCAGTGGCACTAACATTGCAGAAGCCGTGAATGTACAGCATATCAGCATATTTGGCATTTGTGAAGACGTGCGGCATTTTTCGCGAAACACTCCTACGGTTTCACTATCAACAGTCACAACGGTCACAACGGCCAACTGACGCTTCACACCGACTCACGTGCTTCAGACAGTGGCGCAGTACGGCGGGAGGGAAGGACAATCATCATCATCATCATCATCATTAGTAATCTGTCAGACGACAGGTCCACAGTCTCTTCCAAAACAATTCCTCCACTTAATGCGATCTAGAGCTTTCTCCTTCAAATGACAGTATCCTCTTCTGTCCCCAAGGTCATCCAGCATCTTCTTACGTCTTCTTCCTCGTCTTCTGGTCACTTCTATCCGCCCATCTATCTTTCCTTCGATAACTTCTTTTAGAAGGCAGTTTCTGCGTAAAACATGACCAATCCAATTAGCCTTCCGTTTTCTTATTTCGTGTAGGATATTCCTCTGCTCACTGACTCTAATTAACACTTCTTCATTTCTCACATAATCGGTCCAACTGATCTTCTCCATCCTTCTCCAACACCACATTTCGAAACTTTCCAGATGTTTCTGATCTACTGCCCTAAGTGTCCATGTTTCAGCCCCATACAAAGCTATGCTCCAAATGTAGCATTTCACTAGTTTCTTCCTCAAATTTAAGTCCAATTTGCTGGTAAAAAGATTCTTCTTCTTGCTAAATGCAGCTTTTGCCATGGCAATCCTAGATTTAATTTCACTAGTACACCTTGCATCATCTGTTAACAAGCTACCCAAATATTTAAAACATTTCACATTCTCCAGTTGTTTTTGGTCTATCTTTATTGTGACTGGGGTTGGTTGTCTCGAAATTTTCATTACTTTTGTTTTCTCCACATTCATTTCCATGCCATAGCACCTTCCAATTTCAATTAGTCTATCAATCATGCCCTGTAGCACAGTTTCTTCCTTAGCCATTAACACAAGGTCATCTGCATATTTCACAGTTTGAATAATTTGCCCTCCTAATTTGAAGTTTCCGAGCCCATCCAGAGCTTCCTTGGTAAGGCATTCGCTGTACAAGTTGAACAGAATTGGTGATAAACAGCATCCTTGTCGAACACCTCTTCCAATCTTCACACTTCTTGTCTCCCCTCTGTCCAGTCGTACTCTAACTTTCTGATACATGTACAATTTGCTAATCAATCTTCTTTCACACCAGTCGATACCTGTTTCCTTTAGGATCTGCATTAATTTGGTCCAGTGAAGGACAATATTGGGCACTAAATTCAAACAGCTGTACAGTGAAATAGCTCTATATCGGAAACCATTATGAATATGACTCACGCATATTTACATTTTTGTGCTTAGAATGACCGATACTATGACATCCCAGAACATTGACCTTTCCTCCTTGGACACTGTGTGATTTGTAAGTGTAAATGTTTCATGTAGGTTATTATAGGTAAAGTGCATTGTGACACATGAATACTTTGTTTGTATATGAATAAGATCTCAACAGGGCTGATGGTTATATTTGTCTTTGAAATGACAGATTCATTGCAATAGATGGATATTTGTCCAAAGGGACAGGAGAGAAGGATATGCCTCTAATGGCATATTTTACACATCTCCCAAAGACAGACCAGTTGATGGCTTAATTAACTGTGGTGTATCAGGTTTTTGCCACAGAAGTCATTAAGATAAATGGACTTCAGAATTCAGTTTTATCATAGTGATGTTCACCAAATTTCTCTCAACTAGGCTTTTGTTTGTCAGTGTTTCATTCTGGAGTTCATATTGTGATTTTCAGAATGCAAGCTTGAATTGAAAACTCATGAACTTGTTGCACAATATTTTTCTATTGTCTTTATTTCCCTTTTAATTTCTTGTTTCTTTCTGTTGTTGCTTTATTCTTCCTTTATTTCTCTATTCTCCTCCTCACTTTTCCTTGTTTATTTCCTTTTTCCTCTTTCTGTCTTTCTTCCTTTTCTTTTTCTTTCTTCTTTCTTAATGTATTTATTTATTTTCTTACTTCGTCCTGCCTTATGAATTTATGCTAGTCAGTCAGAAGAGTCTGCAACTCATTCACCTTATTCTGAGTAATTTACAAGTGCTAGTCTACATTAAAACCACACATTTCAAATACTTACACTAAAATAATTTTCTGGTGAAAATCCTGAGTTTATTTCCAAAATTCTCAATTATTTAACTGCACCCATCATTCATCCTTACTGACGACTATCATGTTTCATATTGGGAAAAGGTCTAAAACTAAAGGTTCATGGGTTGTATTCAGTTTGTTAGGTCTGTCAGTAACAAAAGTAAGAAGAGTGAATTAAGAAATATCTAGATAGTTGGAACTTAAAAGATGCATAGTGTGAGGATGTTGACAAGATTCATCTGGCTTAGAATAGTGCTCAGTGATGAGATGATATGAACATAGTATCTGAACAGCAGGGCTCCATAAAGGCATTGAATGTCTTGGCTGAATGACTGTGAGCTACTTAAGAATAACTCTGCTCCTTTTAGTGATTACTAATGCATTATAAAATGTAATAGTTATATCCAACTGCTGTCCATATTTATTAATACATGTAGATTGTCATTGTGTTAGGTGTATATGTGAGATTAGTATTACAACAGACAATAAAGAAGTTGAGTGTAAGGGTATGAACTGCATTCAATTGGCCTAGGATAGGATCCAGTAGTGGGGCTTTATTTACATAATAATGATTCACTAAAGTCATTCTACTTAAAACTGATGTATTCCTTTCAGCTTGAACCCCAAAATAGTCTCAGTTTAGTGCAGCTGTTTTATTACAAACATCTCTGCAATGCATCCAGTGGATCTGTTCCCATCTGGTCTGTGGCTTGTCAGTAGAAATCTAAATCTAGATTACTTTCCAATAATATTCTGAAAAAATGATTTTGTCGTTGTATGTATCTCATGAGAACTCTGAAATCTCAGTCAGTAATAAGGTGATTGGCCTCATTGAAGAGAATCAAATCTTGGTACCATCCTCTTCATCACCACTTCCAGAATGGTTCTCTCTGCAGGCCACACAGCCTTCTACCCCTAGGCAGAACTAAGCAGGTCACATTGTATCAGCTAAAACAGCCGACCTGGGAACACTTCATAAAGGAGCACATTGGCCATTCAGGACACATCCATAAATTTAAGAGCAAGGGCTTTGTGTTCCTTTTGTGGTTCAATATATTAACATGAAAGTCACAGTCACAATTTCATTTTCTTTTCATTCTGGAAACTGGTTAATAAGACGGTGATGCAGGTCTTTGAACTTGTCCTAGGGGCAAGGATGGCTAGTTCCAATTCTGCTCTTATTTAACCACACTGGTAGGCTCATACTTTGAGAGCAAAGTGACCAGTGCATGAAGCTTACTGTTCCTCAACAGCCAATACCATGAACTATCAGAATACAGACAGAAGCAATGAATAAAATAAATGGACAAGAAAGTTGATTTATATAATTATGGGATGTTAGTCTTCTCTACTGTGGAATTATTGGCTTCATCCTTCTCTGTCTGGCCAGCCACATATCAAAATCATGAATTCACACACACACACACACATACACACAAGGAAAGAGAAGTATGTCTTATAATGTTTGGAGGAGTGCCAAATGGTTTCCTATCTTATCCTTTAAGTGCGCAAAAAGACAAAGGGAAAAAAACTGCGGCTGTTACCAAGAAGATATGGTCACGTGCCTTATCACACCTTCCCCACCTGATAAATCAAAACTGGCCAATAAGCACCTACTCAAATGACCACATGCATTTCTCACTACATAAATCAATTACTGAACTTAATAGAATGCCCACTACAGTAAGATAAAAAATCTTACAAAATATTCCTATTCAGTATGCATATATATATTCAAGGTCTTCAGCTTCCATGAATGGTAGTGAAGATTTCGCCGTTAAAACATGTTCTGTGTAACCTGTAAGCTTGCTTGAACTCACATATTACTTGTCTTATATCTGCAATAATGCTCAGCCGCTTGAAGTAAGATCTGTATGTGCTGCAAGCAGCATTGCCAGGTTGGAGTAAAATGTTTATAAATGGGATTTTGTTACTTGCCTGGGAAAATTAAAAAAAATGTATTTCAAAATAATTTGCCAGTATTATGGTATTGTGATGAGTGAAATGTGAAGATATGGCACAGGATCATGGCCAATATTAATGTCCCTGAATTTTCCTGCCAAGGGTAAATTACCACATAAAGCAGACATGTTATGCCCATTGATGGCACTTGAACAAACTTACTGGTGTTTTTCTGTTGATGAGTAGCCCATCAGAAAATTAATGGGAGGAGTGTTAAGTTTTGGCAAATTGTAAGCTTTGATTAATTTGGGGGGTAAGGGTTAATTATGCTTACTGATGGAATGCAATGTGTGTCTTTGAAGGCAGGGACTGATGTGTTGTCACTGTGCGTGCATCGTTGAAGATTGATCTAAAAATTTTATTTTTTATATATTGTACCAACAGTGGAACGGTCAGGTCGAAACTGGCATTGAAATTTTACTAGTATACAGGACCCATCAAGAAATGATTGTACATAAAATTCCAGCTGCTGATACGCTGTACAAGGACGCGAAAAAAACATTACTCAAAGTTCGAATTCACAGTTGAAATTTGCGCGTCACGGCAGCGCGCCTAGTGGTGTCGTAAAACACTGCATTTATTTTCTGGTATGGGGTTTGTGACGTCCTTGGCGGGACATTGCCGTTGTCGCGACGCATTTAAATATCTGTGGCGTGCAGTGTTCTCAGTGTTAAAAGCGCAAGTTTCTTCAGTATATATGTAATATTACAGAATAATCAATAATGGGATTATTATAGGACTATGACAGCACTCTTGAAAGTTCTAGAGACGTTATGTAACTTGATATAACAGTTGAATTTGCAACGAGATTTCCTTTATTATATATATATACGACATCACAAAAATAAAATTGAGATGATAAATATACATTTATTTTGCATTAAAACAACATTAAGAAAGTGCATATTGCATGCGCGCACATATATTCGTAGCACAAGTAGATCTGTACAACCTCGTCCACCTTGCACTTTCCTATTAGCTACTAGGAGCGATGCCGTGACGCGCGAATTTCAATTACTCATTCGAAGGCGGAATATTTTCGAACCCTTGTACACCGTATCAGCAGCAGAAATTTTGTGTACGGTCTTTTCTAGATGGACTCCATGCACGAGAAACATTTCAGGTAAGGTTTAGATCTGACCAACTGGACCATTCTCTTGTAAGTTTTAGGAGTTTGTCAGTTTTCAGTGTTTAATGGGCAGAAATATCTAACTGGAATTATATTTATTATAATAGACTTTATTCTTATTTTTGCTGCATGGCGCAGGACTAAGTTGCTGAGTTGGTCAAGAAATTCTCTGTGGAAACTACACGTTTGTCATGTCTACAAACACCCACAATTGGATCCTAACCTTAGCCAGTATTATCCATTTACACACCTCTACACCCAGTTTCTGAAAGATCTATTCTAATAGTATCCTTTTATGTGCCTGTAAAACTCCCAAATTGGTCTTTTCCCTTGAGTTTTTCTGACCATATGACCTCCATATTTCATCTTTCTTGGATTCATCACCCTAAAAATACTATGTGAAAAGTATAAATTATGAAGGTTTTCCGTATATAATTTTCTTCAGTCTACAACTCTTTAGTAAGTCCACCACAACACTACAATTGTATATAATAACACAACAGGATGCATGAAATGAAAATTCTCCAGTCTGTTAACTTCATCTCTCCTGGGTCCCAGTGTCTTCATTGATACTTTGTTAAATGCTCTCAATTTATGTTCTTCGTACACCAAGAGACCGTTAACAATCATAATCAGTGAATAATAGAACCAAAGTCTAGAGAATTCATTCTGTATCTACAAGAAAAGTAGCAAAATGACAACTTCAAGACAGAGATAAGATGGACTCATAAATATGCAGAATAAACTAAAGGTTAAAAAATTACTAATGCAAGAAAAATCTGTTTGGTTGTTCCTGAGGAAAGTCTTAGTATCTGATTCCTTGCCTTGACTTGAGATATTTTTCTTGTCCAGGACTCCATGTCAGTCATCTCATTTGTCAAGAATATGAAATTGCAACTCATTTTTCATGAATATGAAATTGTGACCCTATTTGTATTATTGAGTCATGTCCTTAGATCAAGATTTCATTTTTGTATTTTCTTTTTTCGCATTGCATAATTTGCCATTTACATCTCATCATCTCAGAGATGAAAGATGGTATCTTTGGCCATGTATGTCTACTTTATATTCAAGACAGCTGAACATAATCCCAACCAAGGTCATAATTTCCCTCTTCTCCTCAAAATGAATAGCAGCTTCGAACACAGAATGACCACTCCTGATCCAATATTCAGTGCTCAGGATCATTCATAACCATCTTGGTGTTATTCTGTCCATATGTCTGATACCAATATATATGCATACTTGTTTTTTTCTAAGACACCAGTGATTTAAAACAAAGGATTTACCTACCCCTTCACTAACATGTGTAGATAAATATATTCACTGTTGAATAGTTTTGGACTTCCCCAGACTGCTAAAATAAACAGGTTCGTCCTTCTATCGGAAGTACTGGGACAGACACATATGCATGATACCATATTTCTCTGCAGTATGAGCTACTGAAAGCACTGGTAAATAAATCATAAGTTTGACTGCATTTCTGAAGTACAGAATGTAACAGATATGAGAAATGTCAGTTCTGTCTCAGTATGGCTTTGTTCACCTATGATCATGCTTTTAATATGAAATAACCTTAAATAAGAGAAATTTTTTGAACAACTAGAGGAAAGAATATGTATAAACCAATACTGCTTGATATTTTCGTCTATTCTAAATCTGCAATTCCATTAAATATTGGAAGGTATATTTACAAGTTTCATGCCACTCAGAATCTTGAATGGAAATTTTAGGTTCCGACACAACCAGTGGTTCCCGTGTGGGGGGTGCACCTCCACAGTACCCCAGCACACCTCCAACACCAGGGAGTAAGGAGCCTGATATGAACATCAAGCTTTCATCCTTTGTGGTGCCAGCTCCTCCTGTGCAATCACAGACAGTTCAGCAACAACAGCAACAGCAGCAGTCGGCAGGTGAGAAGATGCGCCGACATTCGGACTCTGAACACTTTGTCTCTCCACGGGCTCCAGCTGACGTTCAGCAGGAAGCGGTGGCTTTGGCTGAGCTGCTCCTCAAACGTGGTGGCAAGGTGTGTATATCTGCATCTGTTTGGGAATGGCTGAATGGAGTGTTTTGAAAGCATGAAGTTCATGTCTTCTTCACAGTTGTCCATTTGCTCTCTAATCTTACAGATGCCAAGTGTAAAGAATTTGACCTTTACAAACATTGCTATGTCTGAATGTGATATCTGTTGACATTTTGTCTGAACTACATAGTCAAGAACTGTTTAGAGTTGTTTCCCTTCATCTTAATCCCTTCAGCAAGGTTTTTATTTATATTTATTAATTATGCATGAAAGAAGACCATTTCTGACAACCTAAAAAGGCACCTTGGTGCAGTAGAATTGTAGGGTTAAAGTACTGTAAACTTTTGTTGTGGTATTTGACACTACTGAAAACAGCCAATGCAGTGACTTAGGTTTTCTCATCAGAATGTTACAGTATCTTGCATCATGACCATTCTCATGAAACTGGATAGTGTCCAAATCTGGTATGAATGAAAGCATTAGACTCAGAAAGTGTACTTCGGAAATGACCAAGGCCAGGAAAACAAAACCAGCGTAAATAAGTGGTTCAAAATACATTGCATAAATATTCTTATATCTGTTGCACATACTTGAGTAAAAACTCATACACGTCATACATTTATGTTGTGGGATATGTGGCCTCATATGGGATGATACTGCCTATTGGTAGGTGGAAATTCATAAAAGTAATTAGAACCAGTTTTTTGGCAATTGGAATTTTGAATCCTCATGTAAATGCCCTTCATTTTAAAATTAAAAAATCAACAGGACTATGTGCCTAAGATGTAGGTATAAATTTAAAATAGAGAATTTACTGATTCATTCACATGTGGTGGAGTACAGTTAGATTGAATCCCAAAATTGTATTCCTTTGGAATTGAGGTACTAAAAATGTATTCATTGATTAAAATCTCATGTAAATACATTCTGTTATGTACTGTGCAACTGAGAAAGCAAACATGATAAATTTTAGAGTAAATACTATATTGTTATTCAGACAGATGTGTATGATGTGGGTAACATTCAGTCTAAACCATCAGACTACTTTAGAGACTATAATATTTGTAAAATAAATATCTGTGATCAGTGATGCAAGTGTAACGATATGAAAATGTGAAGTAAAAGTAATGCAGCATTATAATTCCAACAAGAATATTATGATAAATACAAAATGCAGCATTAATAGACAGGTTGCTGTTACATTCTACTAAGTAATGTATTAACTATATGGATTTCATAGTAAAATTAATGTTATGAGAAGAAAATCAAATCTCACAATTTTATAACAACCCTTCCCAGAAGAGGGATGAAATTTATGCTAAGGTTAAACAGATATATTTAATAGCACAGTGACCATAATGTCCAGCAGTAATATTTACATTGTGATTACTGGTTTTTGTCCTAGTAATTGTTTTGTCACCTGTAACATTTTCACTCTTATTTTATAAATTCCTTCTTAAATTTCCCTTTCTCTGGTTGTTAAGAATTGATCAGGTTATTCAAACATTTAACTTTTTCAAATAATCAGCCAGCTTTTTTAAATTTATAATTAACATAATTGCAAACATCCATAGAATTACCATCTACAATACCCAGAAGTCCCAGAATTTCTAAGATGCAGCCAGTTTTATGTGAGATGTTCCAGAACTAGTTGTCCTGGCTAAAGTATGCATAGTTATTTTCATCCTTCAGTTAAAATAGGACCCACTTAAAGTATACCATTACTGTCTTCTTCACCATTCAGTCCTGTGTTAGTATTCATAATGATTCTTAAATCTGTATGACATTACTTGACTTAAACAGTCAACAGCATGTCTTTCACTTTTTTGTTTGTTTAGCAGTGCATTCAGTGGTTCAGATTATACACTGGAAAGTCAAATAATAGGACAGTTAGTGAATAATGAATTTAAAAAGATATGGAAGGAAGCACTTATGCCTTATTTTAGGGTACTGTCCTAACATTTGTCTGGAGAGACTGAAAAACACAATGAAGACCTTAGGATATCCAGTCTCTGTGCCAAGATTTGAGTGTGGAACTTCCCGTAAATAATATAGGCATGCTAATCGCTTGACCACAGTGTTCAGTAGTGTCTTTTGAAAACCCAGTCAGTGATAACAATAGCCCTTGGTTTCTAACCCATACTCACTGTTACTGATCTGTCATCAAGAATGGCCAGAGTATTCTCATAGGAGAAAGACAAACATCAGACTTTAGTGAAAGTAGGTAATGCATATTTCTGTCTAATATACAGCCCTTGCAGGCTCCCATGCTCTTCATTTTTGCTGTATGACTGAATTGTTGTGTGGTCGTTACTGTGATGTATTTCAGTGCAGATGCTGGTGAGGTTCCCAATATTGCCATTAAATTTTGCAAGAAACAAATCATTGCATCTGTCAATGTGATGCGTGTTGTCTGTGTTGTCACCCTCTAATAAATATTTTATGAATCAACTGTTTTAATGAAGCTCAGTTAGGTCATAAAAGAACACTGCAATTCCATACTTTCAATGATTCCAAAGTGGCAGACACATGAAAGGGAAATTTGTGCTATAATAAATCCTTTGAAAGTATAAAATGTTGTTATGATAGTTTGTGTGCAATGGAGAATAGATACACGACAACGAAACAGGTTACTTTTTTATTTGAATACGATGAACTTATGATGCTGTTAGCCACACAAAGAATGGCTATGTTTACAAATCTTTTATAACTTTATCCACCTGATTTAAAAATACCAGCATAGTAATAATAATCTTAGAGGTTATGTTTTCATAATATACATGTACCTTCTTTACCAGATCAGATATGATCTGTTTTACATTGTTCATTTTTCTTCTATTGTCAGCATTATTCTTAGAAATAATGCATGTAGGATGACAGGATCCTATCCCATCATTCATTCATTCATTCATTCACATTCCATGGATCCTTACACGGCTGGACGACCAGTGAAGATAGAAATAATCAGTGACAACAAGACAGGTCACATCAGTTACATAAATAGAAATTAATTATACTTAATCCATCACAATTACACATTTTATTCAAGACAAATCACTATGAGTAAATCATTAAACAGTTATCAAATATATATGTAAAAGCATGCAACATGCTAATGTCGAAGAAGACTACAATAATCAAACATAAAAATATACTACTAGCTGTCCAGTGTATAATAGACCAAGACCATAATTAATATTGAAGTTATATTATTCTTCCAATGAATAAAATGAATTTAAAAGTAGAAACATTTTTCAACCAAATCTAAATTATTTTGTGTTATGAACTAAGTTCTTTGTGCTAGAAGGAATATTACTGAAAACCTTGATTCCAAAGTAATGTGTTCATTTTTTAAATACTGTTAAATTGCATATTGGATAATGGTAATTGTTACTGTGTCTTGTATTAATGATATGAATCTCAGAGTTAGATTAAAATTGTTCTCAATTTTTAATCATAAATAACAAGCGAGAAAATGTGTACTGTGCTCAGAGAAGCAAAATTTTCAGTTCCTTAAACAATTCCCTGCAAGAGTCCCTACTTCCAGAATTAGTAATAATTCTAATTACCTTTTTCTCTAGCCTAAAAGTATGAATATTATAGAGTGAATTGCCCCAGAAAATTATGCTGTAAGTTATAGTAGAATGAAAATATGATAAATAAATTATTCTTACTGTTTCCTGTAACATATAAGGTCTAACAACCCTGACTGCATAACAGGCTGAACCTAATTTAGATATAAGCCAGTTGACATGACCTTTCCATGACAACGTATTGTCAATAATTAATCCAAGAAATCTGGCATTAGTAGATTTAGCAATCTGATTGTTACCATACTCAGTATACATATCCATTGCATAGCTATTCTTGGTCAAAAATTGTATAAAATGAGATTTATCGAAGTTAATGTCACTAAATTAGCTTTAAACCAATCATTTATATTTTTCAGTATTTGAATAATGTTGTTATCATAATCAAAAGGGCTGGAATTCATGATAATTAAGCTGTTGTCATCTGCAAAAAGAACAGGATTGGAATTACTAATTATGATGTGTGGCAAGTCATTTATGTGTAAAAGAAACAATAAAGGTCCCAGAATTTAATGCCTTGGGACACCATTATTAACTTTGCCCCATTGGGGATGAATATGCCAATTATTAATTACAACTCTCTGGTATCACAGATAGCCTGTAACCTGCTCCTTTGAAATCTCTTATGTTTGAGTTTATAATAATAGTAAACAGTAAAGTAAAATGTAAAGCTATCCCTGTACCAGGCCATGAAGGCCCATAGGGTTGTGAGACGTTGAGGGTCCCACATTATCTAGAGAGTCGGCTCAAAAATGGCAGTAAGGTTGTCAGCCTTACACGCCGGCTGCACTTTACTCCCCAGGATGATTATTTAATTAATTCCTGGTACTCATCTGGTTGAGTGGCTATGCCACAATCCAGAAGGTCACGGGCCAACGCCCCGACAAGGTCACTGGATTTCTTTCGCCCGATCCAATCCCTCCAGCCGTGCTAGGGTCCCAGGGTTGACCCAGCCCCTAACAGAAATGAGCACCAGGAATTAATTAAATAATTTTCCTGGGGAGTAAAGCACAGCCGGCACGTAAGGCTGACAACGTTACCACCATATTTGAGCCGATTGTCTAAATAATGTGGGACCCTCAACGTGTCACAACCCTATGGGCCTTTATGGCCTGTTACAGGGATAGCTTTACTTTCTTTTACTTTTACTCATTTCTAATAGTTGTTGAACTAATGTGATACATGTACATATCAACCCACATATAGTTTTTCTTCAAATTAAATTTCATACCATTTAATAAACTGTGTAAAAGCTGTTATATATAAAGCATCTTGGTACTTACTATGTGTGTGTATGCTAGCTTGCTTGCTGACTCACTAATTCCTTATTATTATCAATAACTTATGTGTGCTTAGTTAATAAATGTTGATTTTTGTTGAGTGTACAGTTATTTTTATTTACTTGTTTGTCTGTTCTGTTAATTTGCAGCTAAGAAGTAGAATATGAAATGAATGGGAAATATTATGCTCTCATTACAATGTAGATATTAAATTTGCCAAAATGTATCCATCATCATAATAGCTTGTGGTTAATAATTAATACATAAATTGCATTATTGATAACTTCCCATAAAGTTGCATGTTCTCTTTAACAGGCGCAGCGACTTAGGCAGAATAGATAAAAGTTATAAAGATATTAGGAGTGGGGATAGCACAATCAGTATATTGACTGGCTACGTGCTGGACGACCAAGAGCTCAGAGTTCGAGTCCTGGTAGGGTCAAGAATTTTCACTTCTCCATATCGTCCACACCAACTCTGAGGTCCATCCAACCTCCTATACAATGGGTTCCAGGGGTTCTTTCCCAGGAGTAAAACGGCCAGGGCATGAACCTGACCACTCATCTCCAACTATTTCCGAGGTCAAGAAAATGTGGATCTATACATCCACTCCCCCCATATGTCTTCATGGTGTAGTGCTTAATTAGTTAAGCCCAGGGAGATCTTTAACCATTTATTAAGATATTATGTTACTGAGGTCACTTTCACTTGGCCCAGAAAATTGCTTATATCAGATAAGTAGTACCAGAAGAACTAATTTCTATCCACTCCATGTTGGAGNGGGGGTTCTTTCCCAGGAGTAAAACGGCCAGGGCTTAAGATTTCAATCTTCTGGATTTTTGAGTCAGGGGATGTGACACCATGTAGTTTGACACATAGGGACTAGGCATTGTTCTTCTGAAACACTGGTACCTGTCTCTAAACTACATGGCCTTACACTCCAAAGGATCATAATCTTAATACTCACCACACAATGAGAGCCTCAGATCTCATATTTTTTCTCAACTATTTCCATATACAGATACTGTGAAAATTAGTAAAATGGGAAAATATTTCACACATGTTCTAAATTTTAGGATATATAGTCAGAGGTGCAGTGTTGTATTTTATGAAGGAGGAAAATGTTGGGAGAGAACCTCCTCTCTCCATTTCCACATCCCTGAAACTGGATTGGTATTATCAAATAAGAATTTAAATATTTCCCATTCATTACATAAGAGATCAGTACAAGTGTTCGCATTTGCATTTATTCTGACAGCCACTGATACCACCTTAAGCTTACATGAAAGCATTTATTTTTCCAGCTCTTAGGGGAAACAATCACATAAATGGTGCATTGCATGACTGTATTTTGCTTTTATTTTGTTCCTAGTTTTGTATTGTTTGTTATTGGCTACAGTTAAATATGTACAATTTTTATGAAAGACCATCTTCACAGGACAATCTGCCGTTATGGTTGCCACCTCTCATGCAATCTCAACCCCAGTGGCGTGCGCTGGTCAGCAGGTCAGGGGATTCTATTTGGAGACCAAGAAGCAACAGAGGACATGATGAGGTCAGGGACAGGGCCCCAACCAAATATTGTAGGGTGAAGGGCACTAATACTCTCTCAACAGTTGGTCCAATAAAAGACTCCCTTGCCATATTTCGCTATATAGAATGAAACGAACCCCAGCTGTAAATTCTTTGTGAAATAAGAACGTTGTGATTTTAATTCAGATTAGATGTTATTTTTAACATATACGTCTTTATTATAGGTATAACTTTTACTTTTCTTAATATTCTTATCTGTTATAGCCAGTTTTTATTTTATCACCTTCATATAAGCAGTATTTTAATATTTTGTATGCATTAAATTAGTAATATTGCATAAAATGGAGGACTTTCCTATGAAAATAATATGATTAAATCAGAGGTGTATCTACTAGGAGGAGTTTCAGTGAAACCGAGAGTTTGCACCATCAGACAGTTCTTTCCAGATCATATTCCTTCGTAGACCATGAACAAAAGTATGTGTTCCTATGTTCTGCCTGTATTTGTGCTCCTTCCTTTCTCATGTGTTTAGTTTCTCTAATCACTACCTTCCTCATTTAAGTTATTTATCTTGTTGAACCTATAATAGTTATATTTAACCCTATCATCTCCATATTTGTCAGGTACTAACACACCCTCCAGACCAAAATCCTTTTTCACTGTTTTATGTTTTACTGCTTGTCTTTTTATTATCCAAAATTTACCTGTAAAGAAGGTTCAGTACCTCTTCAAGTTACTGTCTTGGAACATGTGCAGAAAGTTAGTGTCCAAGGAGCACTTATGAGTGACATGAGTATATCCAGTGTTTGCGTGAAAAAAAGAAAGGGTAAATTAACTGAAAATGTGTGTATCTGGTTTTGGGCCAGCAGATATTCTAGATGGATATGAGTATATTCAGGGATTATCATGAAATTTTTAAAATATATATTCTGAAATATAAACTCCAACAGTTTTTCTTTGGAGGCAGACTGATATATTTTGTACTCCTTTTCTGCTGGAACGTGTAATGAATACAAATACATCAAAGTGCTACACTCTGGCTGTTGCATTGAAATGAAATTAGAGCTGTCAGATATAAATTAGTAAAATAAAAATAAAGTTAAGTTCCTAATGTGGACAGGACTTTTCTCTTTGCGACCACAGCCAGTTGTCCACCATTCGTGTGGGGGAGGTCTTTCCTTGGGGAGCCAGAAACTCACTGAGGTCTAGAATGTATCTTCTACCTTCATATCTCATATATGCTTATATATTATGGTATTCAGTCCTAAGGGAACTTTACATACATACTTGAATGAATGTCAAAGGGGTGGGCCTTCTTGGCCCTTACACCATGACCACAGTGATCTATTGTGCCTCCTACATACATACTTACTTGCAGTACTGTAGGAACTTTGGCCTTCTTTACAAGACGTGCCCTTTTGCTTTGTTACTTGCCTTTTGCCTCCATCTCTTCATGTTTACTCTTTAAATCTTCTAGCCATCCTAATTTGGACTTCCTGCTTTTCTTTTACTTTATGTCTTACTTTCAAAAATGTTCATAGCCAACATTCTCTGATTCATTCCAATCACATGCCCCAACAGAACCGTCCTTCTCTTTCTGATACTCATCCACTAACTAAGCAGGAGTTTCATAGAGTTCTGGCAGGTAAGGGAAACTTTACTTTTACTTATTGAAGCTGGGAAACAAAAGCTTATTACTTTCCACTATGAATTCTTATTTTGGGGGATTATATGAATGACCAAGTTATACCTGTCCAATTCTCAGCAATAAAAGATCATAAGCTACAAACAGATGTTTCAGTTACTTTATCATAGTACTTTAGCAAAAATGTAGTATGAGACTGAGTATATCTCTGATATGTACAAAAAGGAGATACATATGTTGAGTATGTCTAGTTTAAAACAGAAACTTAATAGTCTTTCAAAATGTATATTTCTTTTCAGTGTACGTGTTATATCTATTGATAACAGATAAATGAAAAGAAGAAAATATTTTGAATTATGTTATATAAATTTTACCTTTCTGGGATCATACTTATGTAATAATATCATGGTATAGTATGCACGGAACTTACAGTAATTATAAAATGATTTAAATGAAATGCTAAGGAAATGTTTCTCTAAATCTGCAGGCTTCATGCAGACAGAGAGGTGGCAACTTCAGTCTCCAGTTCAATAGGATTATCTTTCGTTTTCATTTCCTTCAGGGTGAACTAAGAACTTCCTCCATCGTCTCTGGCTTGATTTATTATTTATATATACACCAGATTGCAACCAGTACTTGGAATGACTGGAACAAGATTTGTAGTGTTCCATTTCATAGTAGGAACAGTGCTAGTTCATAACAGAAATTTTATCACATGTATGTATTGTATATGCTTTCCTGTTTTCGGTGTATGTTTGTTATTGTGTGCTTTGCACCAGAGCTTCGCTTCCTGCGTATGTATGTTCATGCTTAATTCAGAGATGTCACCCACATTTTGTCATTATTTTATCTTCTGTTACTATAGTTCTAAGTCCTGCTCTTATATTTTATTCTGATCTTCATTATTGATGTTTAGGCTTTTAAAAGCTTGGTCAAAACGCTATCTTCTTTTGAGCTTATAGTGCATGTATGTAGGTCCTAATGATTTAGCTTAAGAGAGTGCCCTAGACCTTTGCATTCTAAGGACGTCTGTAGATAAGGACAAAACAGGAAGCTTTCCCTTTGCACTTTGATGTATCTTTAAATGAACATAAACCCTGTTTGTACAGCCATTAAAAATTGTTCTATATGACAGTAATTAGGGAATGTCTACAAGAAAAGGAGCCCATAGCTGACAATATGTTAACAAGAATCATCCATTATTTTTTTATCCGTTGCTCTACAACCCCTTGTAAGACCTAGTCCTCTTTTTCAGTTTCTTACAGTTGGTAGGACTCCTTGGATGGGGGATCAGCCCGTTGCAAGGCAGAACAACACAGACACAAAATACGAGTAAATGTATACAGACATCCATGCCTTGAGTGGGATTTAAGCCTGTAATCCAAGTCTCTGAGTAAGCGAAGACAGTTCATGCCTTAGACCACACAACCACTGTGATCAGTGAATCATTCATAAGTTTTGACAAATTTAACATTAAATAAAAAAAATTATAAGATCTTTCTTCACAACTAAATTTTGAAGAAAGTTAATAATGTTAATGGAAATGGAGTTTTCCCTGTTTCACTTGCATTTTCTTGATCAAATTATGATGTTTGACTTTCAGATGTTACTGAATTGTAAGACTTTATGAAATGCACGTTTTATTACATCAACAAGAGTTCTTTCACTCTGGAATAGTGAGTGGTATTTTTGGTGCAATTACGTGAAATAAAAAAGGCCTAGAAGATCATTAAAACACTTCCAGAATGCTTACTCGGATGTTACAAGTAGAATTAAATTAAAACACTATTGCCACGTGCTTTCAGTGGTGTCACTGTTGCAGCATCTGTCAAGGAGGTCGCTTATTCATATGCTTACAGAAATATGTGATCATTAAGTTTCAAAATTCAATTATGTATTCTGGATTTGTATCAATTTTTTGACAAGTCTCCCATAGGATGTCAAACAAAAGGTTAAAGGTAAAGCTATCCCTGTAACATGCAGTGAAGGCCCATAAGGTTGTGAGACGTCAAGGTTCTCACATTTTCTAGACAGCTGGTTCATAGATGGTGGTGAGGTTGTCAGCCTTACGCGCTGACCACCTTTTATCCCCCAGGAAGATTCCTGGAACTCATTTCTGTTAGAGGCTGATTGGACCCCAGGGCCATAATGAGGCTGCAAAAATGAGGTGAAATGAAAAATCCAATGACCTCATCAGGATTCGAACCCGCGACCTTCTGGCTTGCAACATAGTGCCTTGACCAACTACACTACTGCAACAACCCACCCCCTCACAAGGTCAAGTACCTCTGCAATGTTCACTTCTGAAGTACAAATCACACTCTTTAATCCTGAAGCCTGAAATTTTGTGCGTTGGTTACAAAGACTGACTAGGAAATAATCACTGTTTATTCTGTGAACAAAACACGTGAATAAAATCTGTTAGCAGATTTAATAGTGTCTTAATATTAAAACTGGTGGTACCTATAGTAGCTACTTTGTTTGAAGGGTTTTAAATTTCTTCAAAGGTAAAAATCTAAGGCTGCTAGGCATGGTAAGTTAGGTGGTGACACCTGTCTCCATTCCATATATACGTATCCACACAAATTGTTTGAATATATACCCACGGCTCAGTAGTAAGACATGAATGTAGTACATTGAATACTTAATAAATTCAGGTAATGAATAACACCATGAGTCACTCTTCCATATATCTTAATACATAGTAATTTGATTCTTTGTGCAACAGTAGGGGCATACAAATGGAAGAATCCTTCAATAGAAATGTAAGAAAGGCACAACAGGTATTGGGTGGAAAACGCAGAACAGCAATAGCACCTCTGAGAAGTGCTTGCTATGCCTTGTTGAGAGTAATGTCTTGCTTTAGTATTACTGTTTTAATTAATCCCTGAGACTGTGACATGCCATACATAAATTTGAAACAGCAAGAGAAGAATTACATACAATAACTTAATTGTCTGCACTTTTGAAGATTATCATCATCTGCGATGTGACACTGTGTAGTCCTGTAGATGTTTACTGATATTTTGGAGGAATGTTCTGCCGGCATCCTCAGGATAGAAAGGTGGAGGAAGTTAATTCCTCTGAAACATCTATAAACATCCATTTACCATACTACACAGCGTCAGATACCAGAAGACTATGAGAACCTCAGGTCTTATGTCTGAATTTGTGTTTAACCAAGGCAAAAAATATGGTGAATGTGTGGTCCTCCTCAGTTTTTCCAAGGGGATATATTTGTAATGTTCTCTTTGCATGCATATTTTGCACTTATGAAGTATATGAGTTTCAGTTAAACGCCAGCTTTACTAGTTATTTTAATTTTGAGATATGCATGCCATTATGACTAAGATATTGTTCCCAGTCACCTGTTTTGTTTTGTAACTCATGAAGAGTTTGAAATGTAAGTGTAAAGAGAACATTAAATACACGCAGTAATGAAGTATTCTCATGATTTAGGTGGCAGTGAAGAGAGCAAGCTCTGACCCTGGTGCACGACATGGCTCCAACTCAAGCAGTGCAAGCCCCAGCCCACAGCCTACCATGCCTACAACACAGCAGCAACAGCAGCAGCAGCTACAGCTGAATTTTCAGGGGGATAGCTACTCTCTGGCTGGTGTGACATACCAAACCACAGAAGATGGTGGTGGCTACTTCTCCCCCAGCCTCCAGGAGGATATGTTCCAGCAGGTATCAGTGCAGGATACGATGCTGCTACACGGAGTTGACGCAGCGCAGCTTGCAGAGACCATACAAGTAAGTCTGCATATGCCACAGAATCATGTTATCTTGTCCAAATGTTCAAACCATTTTTGTATAAATAAAGTTCTTTTATCTTCTTATCCTTCTTAAGTTCATGTGCCAAATCACTGTCCATTTATTTGTCACTCAAGATTTGTCTTCTCTCTTTTATATTGGGAGGCCTGTTTTGGAGTTCATGCTTCATGCACTCTGTTCTGGTTTTCATCTTATCATTTCCTTCCGCATGATACTGTTTTTAAAATTTGAAAATATTTACACTTCATTTCTTATGTTTTCATTTTTATCTTATCAAAATGTGTACACACATTTAACTGATTTTAAAAATGTCATTGCATCTGCTTGTTCTGCATTTGTATGTCATGTCATCATCCAGACCTCACTTCAGAACAGTGGTGTAAGTTGCAAAATTTTGCAAAATATAATTCAGTTTTATTCCTCACCTTTGAAAATATTTAGCAAGATAACCACACTTACATGCTGATATCTTTGAACTTTTCTGTTCACTTCATTTGCACATTTCGCATCCTGTTGTGTATGTCACTAAATATACCCATTGATCACAACAACTTTATGCTTTTAATAAATGACTGATAGACTCAAATTGTCAATAAATCAGCCTAATTTATTAATATAATTTTACACTGCAGGTTTCAGTCCTTTGTGACCATCATTGGGCGTTTGAAAAAAGGAAAATGTATTCACATTTGTTACTATCCTGCATGATGAAATAGTTTCATTATTAATAGTCCTGTCATATAAAAACTTTTACATAAGATTATGATGTTTAAATAGAAACAATTCTTACTGTTCATTATTAAAACTGGTATAAAATTATTATTATTATTAATTTTTGCTAAAAATTGGGGTTTTTACAGGTGATAATAAGTCTGAGTGTATGATGTTGGTGTCAGTGGTTGGTTGTGTGTTTTAATGGATGAAACAGGATGTTTTGGAGTTTGGACCTTGTAGATATGGATGTTATGTGGATATACATTGTTGGTGCTGACAGCCATGTGCTGCCCAGCTTGGGTGGTTTATTCTTTTTGGCATTCTGTTGTGGGCTTGGTGGTCATGTTTTTATGTTCTGTTCTTTGTTAGTAGGTTTTTAGTATAGTAGAGTTTGTTTATGGTGCTGTTCTTTTTTTTAAGGCATGGCTTAGTTGCTTCTGATGTTGTAATGTCATATCTCCTTATATTATTGAGGTTTTCTGTTCATGTCATCATCATCATCATCATCATCGTCTGTAAATTCGGTATAATATCCAAGGTATTAAAATATTACATTTGTTCAAGGGTGTTCCAGATAAATGATTTCCTTAAAAAACCATAGTGTTTGTTTTGTGTTTTTAAATTTTAAACTTATACAGTATTATTTAAAAATGATATTTAGTTTATAATGTGACATATACATTTCATCTCTGTTTCTTGTACTGTTATTTGATCATCTGCAAGATCATCATCATATTTAAATGATGTGTAATATCAAAGCTATTAGAATATTACACTTGTTCAAGAGTGTGGACATCTATTATTATTTTAGTGCCAGCTGAATGATTTCCTTCAAAAACCATAACGTTTGTTTTCTATTTATAAATTTTATACTTAATCAGTAGTATTTAAATATGATACATAGTTGATAATTTTAGCTAAACATTTCATCTCTGTCTCTAGTACCATTACTTTAACATCTGCAAGAAGTAATGCGTTTGGTGCTGTATTCATACAGGTGTTTAGACATATTGCAGGGTTACTCTTATTCATGCAGTTTCTAGATATATCAGCATATGTGTTGAACAACCTTCAAAATACTGCTCTTGCCTTCCTCTCTGGTTTGTACTTTAGTATCTAATACAGTTGTTGTAAAAAGAGAAAGTTGTCCCTGTGGTTAATTAATTAAGCACTACACCATGAAGGAATATGAGGGAGTGGGTATATAGATCCACATTTTCTTGAATTCAGCACTAGTTTGAGGTGAGTAGTCAGCTTCACGCTCCGGCTGCTTTACCCCCAGGGAAAGAGCCACCAGTACCCATTGGATAGGCGGTTGGGTGGACCCCAGAGCCAGTCTGGATGACATGGAAAAGAGAAAATCCTTGACCCTACCGGGACTCAAACTCCAACCTCCTGGTCATCCAGACCATAGCTAGTCTCTGTACCAACTATGCTATCCCAGCTTGTACATAATTTAAATACATTAAAATTTATATTTCTCTATTTTTTCAAGATTTGCAATATTTTTTATAATTGTTTGAGTCAGATATTTCTTCATAACCTACAAGAGTTCTGTGGTTCTCGATATTTTATTTCTTATTTGTTTGATTCCAAAAATATTACCAGTGCAGGACAACCCTTTTCTGAAACCATTGTGTTCTTATAATAAAATATTCAAGAGAGATGTAAGCATTTTCTTTTAAATGTTACCATATGTTTTATAACTTGTATTCAGTTGATATATGCCCATACTTCCTATCTTGTTTCTCAAGTATGGATACAACTTTTAGCTCCAAAGAGCTTTTGGGTATTTTACAATATGTGAATATGTATATAACAGTTGTAATAATCATAACTGTGGGGTTTACCTCTTGCTTCAGTATATTTAAATTTTCTTCATCATTGTTGTTTAAATTAGATATTTTTAACCTCATTGAATCTAATTTCTTCTCATATCTAGGAAAGTTTTACCTACTTCTGTCTCCAGAAAACACATAAGATAGTTTCTAGGTTGCCGGCTGAGTGAAGTGTTTCTTATCACAAAGGAAATTCTGCTGCAAAAAGAGTAGCAGGATAATTTTTTGTGATAACAGTGGCTGGGACTTCAGTTTCAGGCAGCCTCTCTGTTGCAAGACCAGGCCACAGCAGAGCAGCTTCAGGACATTGCATCACTTGAGGACTACCAGACAGCAACAGCTGGACTCCAGGACAGTGTCCAGAGCCCACAGTACAACACACAGAACCACCATGCTGTGTCTCAAGATTTTCAAGCTGTTCTGGACTCATCTCTGCCTGCTGGACTGGCTGACTTCAGTACATATGGACAGCCAGCTGTTGTAACTTCAAACTCTGATATAAGAACTGCATTGCCATCTCCTGTATCCAAGGACCCATCAGGTGGTTACCAGACAACACAGTCACCACACCAGCAGGGATTTGCTAATTCACCTCATGCCACCCTGACAGTACAGTCACCTCTGCCATCACCACTGACACATCAGGATTCACCTGGCTTTACATACCCCACCCCACCGGCTAGCCAGGAAGGGCAGTCACCGTCATTTGTCCATGGCACAATCATGACAAGCACACTTCCCTTGTCTTCACCACAGCAGCAGTCTGGGGCAACTGATAGCTTTGTGCAGTCGGTGATCTCGCATGGGGGTGGCCATGTACCACCAGCATCATCCCCGCTCTCTGCAGCGTTCTACACTGCCGCCATGTCTAGTTCTGCAGCTGTGGAAGCCGCACTGTCTGAAGTTCTGCCCGTGGAAACTCAGGGAGGGTGTGTAGTGAGCAGTCATCTCCGTTCTCCTCATGGGTTCAGTCTTTATGGAACATTAGCCAATCCATCTCCACCCCCTCAATCCCCACTGTCCACAACACCAGTTCCTTCTCCCCTCTCTCTCTCCAGTGTGCCTGCATCCTCTTCATCTGTGTCATCACCTCTACCTCCTGTGACCTTTGCCCCTGCACAGGGGCAGGTCACATTCCCCCTCTCTCCACATCAGTCTCTTCAGTCACAAATGATGCCAAATTCGGAGGACCCTCTCCTCTCTAGTAGTCCCAAGGACTTTGGAAGCAGAAAGAAGTTTGACTTCGGAGGGATACATTCATTCAAGCTTGTTGGAAATGGAATGGTTGATTTTGGAGTTGGAAATTCAGGACTTACAGGAATCGTAGTGGACAGTAATGGGGAACTGAAATTCTTTCAGACATCAAACCACCATCCAGCTAAAAGTTTGGTTGTAACAGGGAGTACAGGTGCTAATGCGACAGTGATGATGGGGAGTAGCACATCTGCGTTCCAGAACAAGAAGAATGAGCCTGATGGAGGAAAGAAAGGACTATCAGGCAAAGGCACTAACACACATCATACCTCACACTTCCATCACCATCACCACAGCAGCAGCGCCGTACGTAGCCAGCGACCGAAACTGCAGGTGGCACTAGATAACTTCAAGGAGGATGGGGATGATGATGTGTTCCTCAGCCCCACTAGGTGAGATGCTCAGTTTGCATTCTGAGTTCTGTTCCATATAGTTATTGCAGAATTGAATATAAATTCTAAACTAATTTAAGTAAGACAATATATTTTTTGTTCTGATAACTGAAAATTTGTCATTAAATTGTATTCACATGTGATGTGCTGTCAGTGAAAGCTTATGAAGGGGTGTAGACAATGGAAAATGTGGTCACAAGGCGAAATATGAAATGAGTTAGTAATGAGAATTCATTAAATGATTTTCTAGCTACTTGATATAAATATCATTATCATCATCATTAAAAACATCATTGGCAGAACAGCCCTTCTTGAGCCGCAACCTTTCTTAGAAGATTCTGCCAGATTTGCCATTCAGTTCACTTCTTGAGATGTTGCAGCAGTGATTTTTTTACAGAACAAGGTCATCAGCCTTGCATCCATCCCCCAACCTGGAGGTCTAGGTCCTGTATTTATGTTCCTCAGTGACTGGGTAGCCTCACCTCCACATTGGAATTTCATAATTATATTGTCATATAATTGAATATGATTAGAAATGGGGTTTGGATTGGTAATCAGATTTATTAGACACTTGTAACATCCAATGACTATGACAGTCTCACTGAGTTACACACTCCAAAGATCACTCTAACTACAGCACACATGAAGTCTTCACAGCCGTTGCTTGGTAGCAGCTTCCAATGGCAGACATTCCACTTCCTCCATGTTCCTGAACTGTCCCTGGCCTCTCCTACCAGCTTCTCACTTCTCACAGCTATAACTCTCAACTGACTCAACAGCAACTGCACTACTAGCTCTCGTTATATAGCCCTGGCTCAGACCACACAGAAAACATCTCTACAATTATTGCATGTTCTGTCATTGCTGTGGAAACAACTCACCTATTTATGCAGCTGTTACTTGGCAGTGGGTCTACATGGTACTATACTCAAATATAGAAACTCACAGCCTCTTTGACATCCTGCCATTGTGTACTTCATCGGCAATGCCCACTTCACAAAGTCTGCACATTCATGAGCCCCCTCAGACAAATTGATTTTTATTTTCAGGTGTTCAGATATAATAGAATTTGTTAAAAGCCATTTTCCTTACAGAACTTCAGTGTAGGTAGCTGGCCTGAAATAGGCAGGTGTATTATATAACACTGGTTTCCATGTCCTGATTGTTAACAGTAAACACAATTCATGTATGCTACAGCTATGTTAAATACTGTTCTTTGTATGTCATATATTTGATATACATTTAGAGAATAACTATTAATGTCTCATACAATAATTTCCATCTTTAAGGAGTCTTTCTGTATAAGGAGCATGAGACTGTAATTCATATGTTATATTCATGGAGTGTAAATTACATTTGTTACAGCATCCCCGCAAGTCCAATACGTGTGCAACGTAAAAGGCCACGGCCTGAACCTCTCTGTATACCCCCCCACCATCATCCTATGTTCCAGTCACGCCTGCGCTCTTCTCGGCTGTGCACTTCCTCTCCTCCCCCACCATACACACCTCCACCTATGCTGAGTCCAGCCAGAAATGGACAGGGATTGTTCTGGCAAGCTGTCACTCCCACCACAACAGCCTCAAGTACTCCTGCTAGCTCCACAGTGGCTTGGCCTAGCTCGACCACACTCACTCACTGCAAGAGTAAGTCAAAGTTGCTTGTCTTTATCATTTCAGGGCAATGAGCCATGAAGAGAATTATGTAGGGATTGGATTGACTGTGAAGGACACCTGACAGCCAGATGCAGCCCAGCTGAATCAGCAATATTATGAACTTTTAAAGATGTTAGTTTTTAAAATTAAAAATAACAACACATTTATATGCAACATACTATGACAACAGTGCAGAAATTTTAGCAAGAATAATATATACCTGTTAATGGCCGAGTCAGACCAAAAGATGTTGTAATAAGATATATGAAAGATGAAATTAAGTACTGCACTTAAGATGGTAGTTATATGCATGTACAAAAGACAACAATACTAGTACAAGAGGTTGCTGAAGTACCACAAAAATGAAATAAGTTCAGGAGTATGTGCAATACATCACTTTGTACTGAAGGGTTTTTTTATTGCTAGTGGGGTGGGACTAAGTCCCTTGTACTGCGGCCACTTCTGGCCTATTGTACAAGCTCCAGATGATAGGTGAAGGTGATTGTGGAGCAGTTGGTGGAATGAAGATTGGCAGGGGAAACCAAAGTACTCGGAGAAAACCTGCCCCAGCGCCACTTTGTCCACCACAAATCCCACTTTATCAGACCCGGGATTGAACCCAGGCCACCGCAGTGGGAAGCCAGCGACTAACCGCTTGAGCTATGGCGCAGCCTGTGCTGAAGGGTTAATAATATAATGAATATCTAGAATAATATAGATCTTAATATTGAATTCACCATTTTTTTTTCTATAATACTCTTTGAATTTGCCTAGTGAAACTATGAGAAGAAGTGCAGTGTGAAATGTTTACAGATGGCAGTGGTGGTGAGTCATCTGGTTCAGATGAGAGCCACCGAGGTCCAAGTAACAACCTGGACTCTGCCCCAGAGTCAGATGCTACACCTCACATGAACATTGGACCAGAATTCCAGTGCAGTATACCAAAGTGGAATCCTGACAGAGAAAAGGCTAATAGGGAGCCTTCTTATGAACATCTGCTATGGGACCCGGGCATCAGCAAGTTCTGTACAGATGCTGAAGGTAAACTGTGCCAAATTTTCTATGATCTGTCCAGTGTTTTGAATACACTGTTGCTCTTGTGTCATCAGCATTCCAAATAGAGTGACCCAATACAGACAGCATACCCATTGTCCATGTACAGCACTTACCATGAGTTAATCACACAAGCAGTGTAGAAGCATGCTTTAAAAACATCTCTAAACTTACAGTCAACCTGAAATAATAGGTTTCCTCTTATGCTAGCAGATTTTATTCCTATTAAAATCAGCACAAGACATTCTCCATCAAAACACTTTGTTTCATCATACTAACAGAGAGAAAACAGTGTTTACAGTTCTTTGAGTGTATATTACTGACCACATGCATTATGCAAAGCAATAATGTAATGAGGGACTCTTTGCTGTCTCCTTGTGGAAGAAAGATAATTACATTATATCCCACTGCATATAGATATAGAAAATTTGAGATCATGCAGGTGACACTGCTGGAAGTAAAAGCACATAAGCCGCATACTTATTGTCTGTTGTTAACACTGGATTCTTGGGAGGGACAATTTTAAATATGAGACTATTAACATGTTTACTACAAGGTATTTAAATGCCAGTTTAACCCTGGAGGCCAAACAGTGGTGGGTAACATAATAACAAGCACCTTCAGAAGTGGAAACAAGTGCTTCTCCTAGCTGTTTGTCACATATTTGATACATATTTAAAATTCACAGTGATTGTATTGCAACCTTTGAAGCTTTTATGACAAGTGGATGACATCTTTTTGAGACAAGACTGTAATTTTTTTCATGGCTAAGCTAAAGATTTTGGACTGTCCTCTTGATCACTGAGAGAGAGTTCATCTGACTGCCATCCACTGCCACCATTGGTAGATAATATGTTAATATATGGATACTGTTGGAATTTTATAACTGAAAAGATCATATATATTTGGCTGAATTAATTAATGTTTTTCCTCTACTAAAGAACAAAGTTTAGTTCTTCAGCTTGTTTAAAAAGACCATAAGGATGGTTATAAAGATCATGTTCAGTATCAAGTTTACTTGCCATCAGTTTCATTACAATTTGTTGTTTCCATTGATAGTTTTCTTTCCTTATCCTTGGTCTAACTGCTGTAAACTTTGACTTTGAAATATTAGTAACAGACTATGTTTCTGCCTTCTCATCATAAATTAGTTATCTCATATGTAAGATCATGAAAGCATACTAAGTTTTTGCCTAATTTGAAGGATAACAAAGATACAACCTTATGTAGATGATTCACACAGACATGCAGGGAATGCAATGACCTACTTTGTGGCATCTCAGAACTGAGTGGCCTGGCAGCCATATTTCAATGGCCATACAACAAAGCTACCTGAAAAGAGTTACCGATCTGGCATGGGGTAGCTGTTTGATTATTCACAGTGCCCATAAATCAGGTTCATTATTACAATGTCTCATCCAATAATATTATCATCATGGTCATTCTTCTTGTGATAAATGCTTGTTCACTTTTCTTTAATCTCCAATAAGAAACAGCATTGGGGCTGTATAAAAATGTTCTTTAGCTCTTGGTCTGATAGTGATAATTATTGAGTCATTGGAGGTATACTTTGAAATTTTGTGTGGATATCATAAACATGCCCACATGTTAGATGTGAAACATTTGTAAGTTATTATATTGTCACATGTCCGGGCTCCGTGACTGATTGTAATGGATACTGGATTGGATGATTCGATTTATGACATTTATACACAATGCTTGAGGTGGAATGAAAAAAGAACCGGGATGCCATCCTGCCACATCCCGCCCCACCTCAAGCCCTGGGTATTGTACATTGCATTTACTGTGAAAGAAGTAACGGGATGCTTTTAAGCCATTTAGAAAAGAGCCAGGATGCCATCCCACCGCATCCCGCCCCACCTCAAGCCCTGTTTATACATTTACACAGTTCGGGACTACCGGCAGTACAACACTATCACTATTCTACACACTTTCAGTTTACCGTTGACCATGCACTAGGATTCTCAGTCTTCATTAGTCTTATCCTGTCAATGGATTTATCACAGTCTCACTGTAACTTCAAATCACATGTGAAGTCTTCTTGGCACCTTCTAATTCCTTTCTTGCCATTTCTACAGCTGCCAGTTGTGAGACTCGACTGCTCTCGACTCCTGCTGTATACTTTGCTGTACTCTATCTACTACTATTACTACTCCCGTCCTGCCAAACACCTCTTATAAGCAGTTGGAAAACACAGCCTGTATTGTTGATGAAGCCTGTTTACCATGTTATTGCCTAGCGATAGACATCCTATTGTTGCATGCTTGTGTGTTGCGTGAATGTGTTTACTGACCCGTTGCCTAGCAATGAATATACATGTTACAATATATAAACATCAATGATGCAGAAGCATATGATTATGTCTGACAAATTTAATATATAGAAGGTTTATTCGCTTGTTGTTTAAAAATGCTGTCAGTATCAGGACTATATATCATTGATGATAGGATGATTAATGAATATGGAGTACTTGGTGGAATGGTAACTGACAAGGGAAACTGAAATACTCAAACAGCTCCTGCTACAGTTCCACTTTGTCCACCACATATCCCACATGACATGGCCTGGGATCGAACCTGGGCTGTCTCTGTGAGAAACTAACTGCAACTAACTGCCTGAACTATGGCATGGCCTTTAATGTTTACAGAATCTGTACTTAAGTAGTAAGTTCTTCACAATGTAAAATAACATTAATAATAGAGTAATAGGTCTGGTGAACTAAAAATGTATGCAGCAAGAAAGTAGGCTTTATAATGTTATATTTTAGCGTCCTGTTGCACTGATTTAAGTCCATGATTTATTTCAACCGTCTTCCAGTGCATACACTCATCTATCTCACTCCTCTCTCTTGCACTACATGTTTCGGCACAAAAGTGCCATCTTCAGGTGCTTATTCGATTTACGTTAAACTAGTTCACTGCATTCCTTGCCATCTTCATATTAAAATAACTAAAATATATATTTATCATATNGTGCGAGAGAGAGGAGTGAGATAGATGAGTGTATGCACTGGCAGACGGTTGAAATAAATCACAGGCTTTATAAGTTCTGCTTGGAATTCCTAGTTACACATAAGTTAGTTCAAAACATTTAAAACTTGTTTCCTGGCAGCATGAGGATACAGCCCCATGTGTCTTCCATGTGGGCACTAGATTCAGGCAGCGGTCTACTGCTGCCTGGACCTATAAAGCATCCTGGAGTTATTGATGAAGATAACACAACGTTCCTATCCAGGAACCCATACTCTGTCACACTCCAATCACTTCATTTACTTTGTGAACCGCTGCTTAGTTTCATCTATATTAATTAGTATTAGCTATGTTTTATGGGGGCACGCGGTAGCGTAGTTGGTTGAAGCACTATGCCACAAACCAGAAAGTTGCGGGTTCAAGTCCCGATGAGGTCATTGGATTTTTATCAGTTGACCTAACCCTTCCAGCCGCACTATGGCCCTGGGGTCGACTCAGCCTCTAACAGAAATGAGTATCAGGAATTAATTAAATAATTTTCCTGGGGAGTAAAGCGCTGCCGGCGTGTAAGGCTGACAACCTTACCACCATCTTTAAGCAAATTGTCTAGATAATGTGGGACCCTCAATGTCTTACAACCCTATGTGCCTTCACGGCCTGTTACAGGGATAACTGTACTTTTTACTTTTTTTTTTTTTTTACTTTTATTTTCATTTTACTGTCTTGTAAGTATCTTTATGGATTGTACACATATGTAATGTAATTATTAAACTCAGTCTGGGAGTGGAATGGATTCAGTTGGATTAGGATCTTGTGGCTGGCCTTTGTGAATGCAGTAGGGAACCTGTGGGCTGATTGAAATAAAAGCTAGAAATTTCTTGACCAGCCGAATAATTATTAACCTTTGCAGGAAGACTACATTGTGAAGTCTAGTCAGTTAAGCATCACCATCGTCATGTGATCACAGTTTTACAATTCTCTATTTATATGTTATTCATGTTTGTCTGCTGCAATATGTTCCACAAGAAAATGAAGTATTCCTGCTAATTGTTGGTGATTCTGTTGCAGTTGAAATGTACCTAGAATTTGCATGCTGTGCAGCGGTGCCTGGTGGGGGTCGCAACAAAGAGTATGCTCTCCATCTGCTGCATATGTGTCATGGAAACATTCATGTGGGTACCAACAGTTAATTCCAGTCTTGAATTACATTACATTACATTACATTGCATTCCATGGATCCAAAATTAGTCAAAGTGACTGTAGGATGTGGAATATGTCAAATAAATACAAAACATATGTACAGTCCCAATGGAGTTCTCACACAAGATAAACCAAGAATACACAGTGACTACACACAAGGCTATTTAAAGATACGTAAGTTATTTTCTAGACAATAGGTATTCATCAAAAGAGTAGAATAAATGTGTATTTAAGTATCATTTCAGTGCTATTTTAAACAGTGCCTGTTCATTCATAAGACCTTTGAGTTCAGATGGCAGGTTATTAAAAATTAATATGCGCTTTTCTGAAAGCATGAAAGGTTAGCAATTGGTTTATGAAGATAGTGTTTGTGTCTTGTGGTAACACTGTGTACATCCAAATAATTGAATCTGTTGGTTGGAAAATGATACACGTCCAGTGACTGAAAGGCAAACGTTTTCTGAACAATGTGACCTTCTTGGTTTTAATGCTGTGTAATTTGATAGAAGTTGACTGATATACCTCCAAAATGTCATTGGACTTCTACTGAACTACACAGCATTACAACCCATAAAATCATAATCTTTATAGTCACCACCTTGAGGATCTCAAATCCAACAAATATTTTCCCTTTTCAAACTGAACAATTCAGTTATTGTTACCATGAGGAGTGTACAATACTGGAAAATATTTGTATAGACTGATGAAAATAGTATTATGAACATATCATGCATTTATCGGCTATGAAAAACACAAAATATCTGGTTGAATAGGACCAAAGACAGATTGAAAACAATGCTACAGCATTTTTTATCCCTCTTGAAAATAGTTTCATAATAAGCTTTTCAAAATCTGATTCATTTTATATATTTCAGGGAGTAGAGAACATCTTCATTTCTGTCCATAGCTGTTGCAGTACAGTTTACCAACAGATATGTGTAGTAAAATGAATCTAGCTTTTACTTGGAGAAGGATATGAATACTGTATGAGAATAAATTGCTTGATATAGTACATCCATGGTGTACCCAGAGTTTAGGGTGGAGTGTGAATGAAGATTTGTGGGCTAAATTTTGGGTAAAATGCTTGATATCCACCTTTCATACAAATTTCCTCACAAGTTTTCTGATACCTACTGTACCATTATCAGCACATTTGAGAAGTACAGTAGCTGCTGCTGTACTGTTTGTACAGTACCTTTTTGTTGTACAGTGGAATCTACAGAAGGTGGTTGAAAACAGTAACATGTAGCACATCAGAGTCCATGAAAACACTGAACCCATCACATAATTCACACAGTTCTCATAGCTTTATTCTAGATTTTGGACATCAAATATGAATGAGTAAAAATTGACAGATTTTTCAAGCAGCTTGAGTACTGAAAAATTCACATAGAACTTTATGTGTAAAACCCTGTGGGAAGAAACTACTTGGTAGACCTGGGTGACATAAATTAGAAAGTGCTCATATTAGTTTGTTTCTTGTGCTTCCAAGTATGGTCTGTGTAGACTTCAGTGGCCCCTGTCCACCTATGTAATCTGACCAAAGATCATATTCACAACCATCTGAATAAGCATCCATTGTCATATTCCAAGACTACTAGATCACTTTTAGGGGATTATATTGTAAATGATCTTAGAGAATGTATAAATGGATTTAGCTGGTGGAGCATGTGATTTAATGGCTGACTTCCATAGGTACAGGAATGAAGCTTCAGGTTTCATAAAGAGTGAAGGGAATTTCTTTACCATCTGAAAATAAATACGATGTAGCAACTGCTCAGGAAGTTATTAGTGCTCAAGGGATTAAAGAAGTTGGCTGAATGTACTGTCAGGGAGCTAAATACATATTTCAAAAACTGTACATAGGCAGATTTGTGTGTCCATATAATTGGTTTCAGTTGAAATTTGGAGCATCATTAGTGATCTAGTTTTCACCAAGACTTCATTCTGTATGTATATGATATACTTGTACATATATAAAATGTGAAATTTGTCCTGTGCTTATCTAATTAAGCACTACACCATGAAGATATATGGGGGAATGGATGTATAGATCCACGTTTTCCTTACCTGAACACTAGTTGGTGGTGAATGGTCAGCTTCACATCCCGGCTGCTTTACTCCCAGGGAAAGGGCCCCCGGTGCCCATTGGATAGAAGGCTGGGTGAGCCCCAGAACTAGTCTGGGTGATGTGAAGAAGACAAAATTCTTCATGCTACTGGGACTCGAACTCCAGCCCCTCAGTCATCCAGCCTGTAGCCAGTCACTATACGAACTGCACTATCTCAACTCCCATATATATAAATTTATTTGTTTATTTATTATTGGATCCCATTGAGGTGAATTCTTTCAATTTACCTAATCCTTCCAACTGCACTATGGTCCTGGGTTTAACTCAGCCTCTAACAGAAATGAATACCAGGTATATTCCTGGTAAAGGGTGGCCAGCGTGTAAAGTTGACAACCTCACCGCCATGTCTGAGCCGACTGTCTAGAAAATGTGGGAACTTCAAAATCTCACAACCCTATGGGCCTCTATGGCCTGTTACAGGGATAGCTTTACTTTTACTTACTTACTACTGGATTCCAGGAAGCGATGTTGAAGCTGATGCAACCAACACCAACTCTGCCACCTGGTCATCCACTGCTTGCCTATGAATACACAGAGAGTGACCGATGGAGTGCAGAGGAAATGGACGCATTCCACCAAGGGCTGCTGAAGTATGACAAGGACTTCCACAGTGTGGCAGAGGAGGTACTATCTTGCTTAATACCTATATTTGTAGCTCTCCAGCAGTAAGTAAATTATTTTATTATTTTATTAATTCATGATTAAGTAGAAACATTTACATTTAAGTTGTTGACTGTTTTAATCTTTCCTTTATGAATGAAAAGTTCTACCAACAATAATGAAGTAATTCTCAAATAAAATTAAATTATCAGTATCACCAAAGAAATTGAAATATAGTTGTAAGCATCAAAGTTAATAACGTCTGCGATGCTGTAAGTAGTATACTATGTACAACTTCTTTATTAACCGTCACAACACAACAAATATCAAGGCCAGTGCCCAGCTACGGCTCTGCTACATGTTTTGGCTATCAACAGCCATCATCAGGCAATACATGGTTAACATATATACACCACTGAACTGCAGTACTATTAAACTGGATACAATATTATTAAACATATAAAATACTTGACATAAAAAATACAATAAATCAAATTATATAAAGAAACAGAAGTTATAGTACAAAACAAGAATAAAATTTTAATTGATGTTTTATAACATCGAATCAGTCGTTGGTTTTGTATTTTCGTACGTTCCCATGGACAAATTGGAATATTCTATTTTTTTTTCTTCTTTTTGTGTATAAGATTTTATAGGAGGCTCGTGATATAGATGTAGTAAATTAATGTTAATTGTTTAGTCGGTGCCTTGTCTTACAAAATTTTGTCCGTACTGTAGGGAATGTAAACAACAACTGATTTGGTGATGTAAGATTATGCCTTTACATAAAACTTCTTCCTAAAATCATGAGTTTCCAACTAATAATAGTGGGCATGGCTTATTCCCCAAGCAGTCAATGCCTGGTCAGTTCAAGAAATCCCTTGTTCTTATGAAATTCAGAAATTTTTGGTCAGCACTAAAGCTCAGCTTTGCTACCTGTCACATGTCAGTTCAACCCAGTTCATATCTCTCATAATCCAGAACCTAAAAGGCATTTAATATTTTACTTTCATTCACAACTCCTTCTAAGTTGCCTGTCTTCGTAAGAGGTTAGAAGTTTTCAACCAAAGTTATTTTCACGTTGCGGCATGTCACATTAGGTTTGCAAGAAATCAGTGACAAATTTTATAATTACATATGAGTTCCTACTAATGTAATTTATGTTCATGTTGTGAAGGAGATAAAGGTAAAGTTTTTCCAGCTCTTATGCATCATTTAGAGTATGGAGACAGATCACCATGCATTGTTAACCCGTTGCCGTGGTTCGTCGTGTATGTTTCGTCAGGGATTTAAATCGTCTGGGGGGGTTCGACGTGTATGTTTCGTCCAGCTGCACACGTATGTTATAACGCCCATAATAATTGATGGTTTTGCTGTAGATTGTTAGATTTTTCACTGGCCTGTTGTCAGGAGGACTGTATTTAATGACACACGCGTTTAAGAGCGCTAAGTCGTCGTTACATATGCCTGTCTTGCAGCAACGTTCCTGTGGCTATTGCGAGCTGTTTCTGTTATGAATGATGTGTTTNGAGTATGGAGACAGATCACCATGCATTGTTAAGCTTGGTGCTAGATGAGGTGTGTAATTTGCATCACCCTCTTTTCTTCTTTGTCCTAAGGAGAATGCCTCAGTACCTATTGGATATGAGGCTGAAAGAAAGGGGATCTAGACTCAGTTTGGATGTGATGGAGGAGAAGAAATGTCTGCCTTTGCCAAGATTCTGTTACTGCATTGGCCAAACAACTCCAGCTGAATTGCTTTGGTTGTAAATTTTGAAAATAAATATTGTTTCTATTATTCTCAGATTGGCTCGAAGACAGTGAAGCAATGTATCCAATTCTATTACTTATGGAAGAAAGTGTGCCCAGATGAGTACAAGCGACTACGTCTAATTCGTCGACGACAGAACGCTGATTATGGTTCACGTACTGATGTAGACTATGAAGACATCAAGATGGAAGACTCACATATTCCTGTAATTATTTGACAGTTATAGTAAAACTTTTGTACCATAACAAATGATCCTATTCTTTTCAGCATTTGTAGGATAGAGATTTTTTTAGATGATTTATAATGTGTTCATGATTTTATTGATATTCTTTTTACTATCTGGCACTGAAAGGGTATTTGCAGATTTAAAATGCAAGCATATTGTCTATAGATTTTCTTTTATGTGTTCTGCTGTGGCTTTTTGAAGGAAAACTTTTGCTGTTTTCTCATTAGCATGCACCAAACTTGGGTACTTGTACATCACAATTTAATGAATTTTCTGTATGAAGCACAAGATATGAAATATAATACTGTTGGTCATCAGAAATCACTGAAAGTAATTAACATTTTTGTGGAAGTATTGTAAGGTTCAGTGCGGATAATAACAAAGCCTGAAGTCAGACAAAGTTCTGGAACAGCTCCATCTTCCTCTTGTCATCACAGCACATTTCTAAAATACTCTTCAGTCTTCATTGACTATTTTGCAATAGATTTTATCCACAAAAGTTCTGTATGTATTTCATGTCTTTCTCATCCTACCCATGTGCCCAGACCACCACAGCCTCTCAGATTTCATTGTCTGAACAATTCCAGGTAACCTGTATAAATCGTGAAGTTCTTCATTATATATTATACTGAGATGGTTACTTGCTTCTTCCTTTTTATCTACGAATAGTTTTCCTGAGAACCTTTTTTTTCTTCTTTTATTCCTGTAATTTATGTTCTTCCATTGAGATAAGAAACCACTTCTCACACCCATACAAAACAAATGGCAAACTTATTCTTTAAGAACAGTGATCTTCAGCATTTCTAAAAACAGGCAAGAGGATAACAGCTCTTAAATTTAATAATATGAATCATTTCCAGAGCATGTTGTTCTCCAAAATTTACTATGAACCTTGTTCCCATTTGACAGCATTGTTAGACAGATTTAAAAACATTCTGAATGTTTTGTTACATATGCTTATGTTATGACTTTGTTACAATTTTGATCTTCAGTCATGTTCAAATTTTACTCATGTTTACACCTTGACCAATTTTTTAACTGGCTTATAGGAAAATTTATGTTGTCATTTACAGTATTTATATTGTTCTTGACTTTCCTAATGGCATAATTTGAAGTAAAATTAACCTCTCTGTAGTTAGTGTTGTGCACTGCATGGTACTTGTTTGCTGTGTGCTGCCATTTGCCCCCATGGAGTGCTGTGAACTGCATACTGTTGACTGCTCATGCTTCTATCACACAAATAATTCAACCACATGAATTCTGCTTGCATATACTTTAAGACAAAGGTCTAGGCTATCGTTCAATGTCTGTATGGAACATATTTATTGGAGTAAATGTTATTCACTTTATGTGCAAACCCAACACACCTCCTTCTTAGGACCCTAAAGTGAGAAGGAAAGTCATATCTTACCGATATGGCCATGGTCTGTGCAATATTGATCAAAAAGTGGATTGTGTTGTATGTACATTGTCTTGTATATTGTTTTGTACATTTTAAAGGCTTGTTGACATGTAATGTTTGGTTGTTTTCAACTGACTTGTCCAATTGTGCCTGCATAACAGTTATGGATGCTAAACAAATTATCAATTATCTTGCTAAAGCTCATTTTACTGGTATGTTTGTACTTATCCGCGGGTTAGTCCATTATAACCTTGTCTCTCAAGGTGTTTTGTTACGTTACATGATCTTGCTAAAGTTTTCAGTTGTGTTTGCTTTCAGGCCAATGACGTGGAATTGGTATCAACCAGTTCAGAGAGCCGACTCTTCGTGTGTGAATATCCAGACTGCTCAGCTGTATGTATAGCAAACATATAATTAATATTTGTGTGCCTTGTTGTGCAAAATAATATTTTACCTAATTATTCTTGTATGTGTAATAAGCAGAATAGTTCTGTTTAGTCTTTCTACACAAAGTGAATGCATAATGGGAAGGTTATGTCCATACATCTGTTAATCCAAATATATGAACTCTAAATGGAGTTTGATTAAATTTTGTGTTTGAGCCTGCACTTACAGTTGGGAAAATTAAACTTTGGCCATATCTTATCAGTACAGACCTAACTTTAAACAGTTTTCTTACAAATGTTCATTGTACAAGAAAGTAATACATAACCAAAAATATAGATCCCATTAATATTTACAGCTTTAGTTTGAAACATTTTACAGTGTTGAAAATATTCAGTGAAATACAAAGAGAGATTGTTGCTGACTGTGCAATATGATTACCTTTGAAATATTGGCAGTGAATGAAATCAAAGTCAATGCAATGAACAGAATCACATGAATGTATTTATGAAATATATGAGCTCCCATACAGTTTGACTTTATTCTTTTTTATGTAGGACTGAACTGTATGCTTTAGAGAATCAGGCACTTATGGCATGGTTCCTTCTATAGTTTTCCTTGTGTATATCAACTTGATTTCTTAAGTTGGAGGAATAGAAATTAAGACTGTGTGAACAACAATTGTATCATTTGCCTAATTCAGCAATCAGAATATTTTGGTAAAGTATGCACTAGACTACTGATGGTCAGAATAGACTTACAGCCAACTGTAATGCAATAGGATTTTTACTTCGTTGTTTTCATGCAATTTGAATGTCAAAAGAAAATCTGCACAGGATTGCAATATAATTGGTAGTAACTAATTAACTTAGTAACAAACTGACTCTTCATAGGGCTCTCTAAGGTGGATAGCTGTTGAGCTGTTAAAATTCACCCAACTGTAACACAATCTAAAGATGCGTGGCCATAACCAATAATAACCCATCATACTCTAGTACAAGTAAAAGTACTTTTTCAAAATAAAATTTTCAAGTATATGAACAGTGTATAAAATACTGGAGACTGTGTACTGTTGTATGTACACTTCTTTTCACACTGCCACCAGATGGGAGGATCAGTACATCAATTTCCTCTGAGTTACAGGAAAGCTGCACTAATGATCATTGATGTTGAAGTTTTGAAATGATAACATATAAGCGGTGTACTTACATTTTTTAACCAAATCCAGTTTTCTGTCAAACTACAATTTTAAATCATGTGCTTATTCACAAGTACATGTGTTATATTTACATGAAACTAATATTTATTCATGATAATTCCCTCAAATCTCTTCCATCTTAATGTTCATATTTATTAAAAATTTCTCTCTTGACATTGCATAATTTCTTAAACTGACAGATCACTGTAAAATATACAAAGAACATTTAAAATGATAATGTAGTCTGGATCCCAGAACCCATCTAGAAGATGTACAGGCTGCTTCAAGATACATGCTGACTGTCTTGGGTATTTAGGAATCTAGTCACAATTAACGTTTGTTGCCCATACTTCGCAGTAGTATGACAATGCATATGCACAGTTCAACTGGCTGCGCATTGCTTATTTAAAAATTTACCGCATTACCCAAAAGTTAAAATCTGGCTACCATGCTTGTAGTGCCAGGAGATTTGGAATGTGATATTCCTGGAAATTATAGGTTAATATGTAAATCCCCAAGACTGTGTTATAATGTGACATATCATTAGATGTATTATCAAAGAACATTGTTCATATTAACAAGATTATATAATACCTCCGCAACAGTAAATGGTTCATTCAATTTTCTTTATTTGTTGTATCATAAGTTATTCTCTTAGAAAAGTGTCTCAGGAGTGCAGACCAAATAATTCCAGCCTCAGATTTCTCATGAATATGAGCCAAATAATTTTGTCTTAGGCATGTGTCCCATGAGTGTGACTCTTCTAGTTCAGATGATTATAAGTGATGGGTCCTAGGTCAAAATTCATTCATTCATTCATTTCCTTTATTTTCCATATATCTATACAGGCAAAAAACCTAAGATGCGGAAATAGTCCCTTTGATAATAGATGTATACATGTAATAAATTACATAAGTCACACAACTAAAATAATCATCATCATTTATTTACATTCCATAAATCCACTACATATAGGATAAGGAATTAGTCATTGATAATACAAATAACACTACATAGAAATAATAATATAAATAACAATATAAGACATTCAATACCACAATCACAGTTGATTATTGGAGTCAAATTTACAATCAAAGTGTTCCAAATAATGAATTAATGGTGTATAAGAAATTTTCTGTTCATACATAAAGGATAGTTTATATTATTAACTTTGCACTGTCTATTAATTTTGTATCTGTTTGCATGTTTTTTGTTTGTAGACCTTGTAATGAACTTTTACCATAGAATCCCCATTTAACGTTCTATTTCAGTGATTCAAAGTGACTCTAAATGTTAAAATTCTTGAGTTTAAGGTGTTCTTTGTTCAGTGCTCAAATATATTTTTTCCCCAGAGAGCGATATGAAGTGAAGATTTCACTGCATTTCACTGCCAGCATGTAGAGCAGGCCATCACATTACATTCAGGATCTTCATACATATGTGTAGTTGATATGTGTAGTGTTGTCTCAGGCCATTTCTAATTACAGAAGAACCTGACATGTAGAAACATGAATACGTGTATACCATGCTACCAGCATCTGACCTGGGAAGTGCTTGTTCTGAGCCATAGTACGCTTATGGTAGAGTAGTGGTTAAGGTACTATGCTACAAGCCGGAAGGTCACGGGTTCAAGTCCCAATGAGGCCATTGGATTTTTTTCAATTGACCTAATCCTTCCGGCCGCACTAGGCCCTGGGGTTTACTCAGCCTCTAACAGAAATGAGTACCAGGAATTAATTAAATGATTTTCCTGGGGAGTGAAGCGCGGCCGGCGTGTAAGGCTGACAACCTTACCGCCATCTTTGAGCCGATTGTCTAGATAATGTGGGACCCTCAACGTCTCACAACCCTATGTGCCTTCACGGCCTGTTACAGGGATAACTGTACTTTTAGTATATTACATTCATGTTTCTTCATGCAAGAGTCTTCTTGTAATTATGGCATCAATTAGATCTTGTAATATATTCATCTTCTGGGCTTATAGAGCTTTAACTCCCGTGCTGCACTGAATGGCCACATACGAATTCATGGTGGGGGTGTGTGTGGACGTTCTCCCACCCCTGACAAGCGTCCAGCTGCTGCAACCCCTCCCACGCTTGGAGATATTATTGAGGAATTTCCATGCAAGATTTGTGGGAAGTAAGTGAATGCCTACCAATGTTTACATCTCTCTAAAAGGTCGACACAAGGTAAATTTCTCTTTCATCTTTATGCCTGGTGTGCCTCTTGGACTGCGCCCCAATCTAACTTAAAATCAGAATTGGTGATGTTTCACTGTATTAGCGTATTTTGAAAATTATTTTAAATACTCTGTCATTTTTTCTTCTAAATAATATTTTGGAAAAGTTTGTTAACCACATTTTTGTGTTGTGAAGTCATTAATAACAGTAATAATAATAATAATAATAATTTGCATCCAGCAGACTGTAGTATCTGATTGCATTTCCTTTTAGTTTTTACTTGTCCCTTTTATCATTGCAAAGAAATGCCCACCATGTGTGATTGGGGACTTTAACCCCTCAGCTGTTGGTACTGTGGTTGTGCAGATGAGACATACCACAGGCCCCCTCCTATTCCATTTACTCTGTAAACCCTTGTGTTGATTTGAAAGAAATATAACAGCATAGTTTGTTATACCCAAACTACTTTGAAATGCAAGAGATGGAAAAATATCTGATGAAGTTGTTTGGCTAGAAAGATGTATCTTTTACACGATGTATCTGTTAACCTGGACATTCATGTGCTAACAGGCCATGTGTGCTGCTATTATCCTGCAGTTCAGTGTGATGTCAGTTGATTGTCTGGCATTATACCTACTGGAAGATGATGAACTGTGATGCATGTGACATTTGCAGTGATTCAATCTTTCCAAAATGAGAATCTTATCCATGTAAATATGTTTAATTTTGTAAGATTACATTCTGTTTGTGTTGACTTCTAAGTCATAAGATGAATCATCACATAAACTTGAATTCAAAAACCTTCTTGTTATTTACTTCTTATTATGCCTTAGTGGTCATAGTTCCTAGTTACAAATCTAGAGGTCCCGGGTTCGATTCCCGGCGCTACCAGATTTTCTGAGAAGTAGTGGGTCTGGAACGGGGTCCACTCAGCCTCATGAGGATAATTGAGGAGCTACTTGAATGGAAAAGTAGCAGCTCTGGTCTAGAAAACCAAAACTAATGGCCGTGGGGATTTATTGCGCTGACCGTGCGACATCCTCTATCTGTTAAAGCTGGCACTAACTTTGCTGACAAGCAGCGGACTAAAGTCATGGAGTTTTTTATTATGCACTAAAGGTTTTGACTGTAAATTGTAAATTTGTTAAAATGTGGAGATATATAAAAATGTATATAGAATATTATAATGATAATGAATTAAGTCCTATCTGACTCAGTTTTACAGAAACATGAGTATAAGAAAAAGATGATCACCTGAATGATATATTTTCTGATTGTAAAAGTCTGAGATATGACATCATCATCAACCTGTCAGACAACAACCACCTCATCTAGATAACCCACTCTCCACATTCAGAATGTGCCTATTAGCCACACTACAAATACACTGATACACAGATTGTTGCTTTCAAGCACAATTCACCCTTTATCATCATATTGGTCCTTTTCTTGAAACATACAGATTTCACTACCTCAGTCAACTCCAGCTACTCAACAAGAAAAAAACACCAGAAAGAATGTACCTGAAAAAGAAAAAAAACTTAACTTGAATTAACAAGAAGGATATGCACAGAAAATTAAAATATGATATCAGAATGTGAAGTGCCAAGTTATATACATAGGTTGTACCGAAAGTCATGAGCAACTTTTTTTTGCATGCAACCTGGGAACAGCAGATGAAAGAGAGTACGGTGGTAGGTGGAACCAGCTGTTGTGTTAACCTTGAGTGTCTTGCGACATCAATAGCTTGCATCACGTGACCAGTATCACTCCTAATAAAATGGTCGACAACGATATGTCGTTTCGCCAGTGTGCTGTCAGCAAATGTCTTGTGAAAGAGGAAATCCCTGCTGCAGAAATTCACCAGAGACTTCAGCGTGCTTATGGAATTGTGTGCATGGGTGCAAGCAGTGTTTGAAGGTGGGTGAAACATTTTAAAGATGGGAACACCAGCATCGAAGATGAGCCTCGGAATGGTCATCCTCAAACAGCCTCTTCTGAACGCAACAAGGAAAGAGTGGATGAGATCATTCAAGATGACAGGCGTGTGACTGTGGACACAATAGCCCGAAAACTTGGAAAAGGTCTCAGTGCAGTGCAGTACAGGAGATGAGTGAAAGCTTGGGCTATAGGAAAGTCTGTGCTCGTTGGGTCCCGCGGTTATTGACCTAAGACCACAAAGGTCAGCGAAAAGCCATCACCTCAGAACTGCTGCAGAGATATTGACACGAAGGCGATGATTTTTTCTCTGTATTGTGACAGGTGACGAAAGCTGGTTTCACCATTTTGAGCCTGAAACGAAACGGCAGAGTATGGAATGGCACCATTTGCATTCTCATCAAAAAAGAAGGCAAAGACAGTGCCATCAGCTGCTAAGGTGATGGGCACAGTCTTCTGGGATGCAGAGGGGTTTATTCTGGCCGAATTCCTGGAACCTGGGCAAACCATCAATGCTGCTCGTTATGTCCAGGCACTGCACAAGCTCCTTTGAGCTTTGCACGATAAATGTCCTGGACAAAACATCATCATCCTGCTCACCCCCCATGCCGCTTGTCTCACATTGGAAGCAATTGCAAAGATGGGGTGGGAAGTTCTTCCACACCCCTCCTATAGCCCTGATCCGGCACCCTCCAACTACCATCTTTTTGGATTTGTGAAGGATCAGCTGCATGGACAATGTTTTGAGACAAGGGAGGCAATTCAGAAAGCAGTGCATCAGTATCTTCAGATGGCTGGAATGGAATTTTACAGAAGGGGAATTTTCAAACTCCCAGAACGCTGGGAGAAATGTGTACAAAAAAGTGGTGATTATGTGAAAAAATAAAGAAAGGTCTGTGAATTGAGTTGGTGTATTTTGTTTGTCAATAATAAAGCATGTTACTTTACAAAATATTGTTGCTCATGACTTTCAGTACGACCCTCGTATAAAAAAGTTCAAACTAATTAGTAAGCAAATAACTTGTTATGTTGGAGAATACTTACAGTTAGAAAAGAAGCCTGTTATTTTATGCATTTTAATAAAATAAAGTCACATGCTACCTAATTCCTTATTATTTTAACATTTTATCTACATTTTTATACTTCTGCACATTTTAACGTATTTGTACTTATGGTCTATATATACGAGTATTTGGCTGATTTGTGTGAAACACCTGATGACAATCTTTTGCATTGGACACATGTAACATACAAAAATAAATAAAAAACAAGAAGGTTGTATAATATAAGTTAATGTTACATTTCATTTTATGACCATAAATAGGTTTAAATTATGTAAGAAGACCTTATTAAGTACTTCAGGGAGACCTAGAGGACCATAATACATGTGATTACATAAGAATGCTGCAGATTATGTGAACATAAATGTACTGTAGCCTAAAAGAAATACAAAAATGATATAGAAGATGGGTGCCAGCTCCTCAGACTGACTGCAGCATTCATATACTGTTTCTGTCCCTAACACCGATGAAGACCTACTTGTGGTAGAAAAATCTGTTGTTTAGAGTTCCTTGCCAAGCAAATTAGCACTGTAATGGCATGTCTGACTTGTATTTTGGAGCTACACATCTCAAATAGTAGCATTGGAACTGACAATCATAACATATTCTTCCATGCTATTTGTCAGTCTGTCCATGAAATGCCGAGAATGAAAGACTATTACTTCTGTCTTCACTCTTCGCTTTTCATCTCATTTGATACATAACAACCACTCTAGTTAAAATAGCTGCATTACGTTATATACAAATCAATCATCAGTCCATCCATATCTGATGAAACATATTCAGTGATCTATTTCTTGCAGTTCACACAAGATCGTAGTGTTACTGAACCAATAAACTAATTTATGTAGCACAAGATTTTAGGTTCTTACAGCGATGACTATTAAGATTACTCTCTTCTAGGAAGTTACTAGTCTGGAAGAAATTTATTGATGTTATGGATGAACATCACTAAACTTCTACCAGATTTCATGGCATGGCATCCCATGAGCTAGTACTTCTGACAATTAATGTAATATTTGTAATATTAATCTACTTCTAATTTCACTTGTAAGAAATGTTTCAGAGTTAAACGTGATGTATACCTTTAAATGTGTAATGTAACATGATCATGAAACTCAGAATGACTGGGTTTTTTAACTTTGTCCATCATCAGGTATTCTAAAGGCTAGAGAACACACTGGATTCATTGGGGTTAGCTCTTTCTAAGGGACCCACCAGAGTAGGTGTCTCCCATCACCTGTTGATGGAAACAGATACAATTTCAAGAACATTATGTTCTCTGATTTTTGGAATACTGAACAATGGATGAAGTCCAAAAACCCAGTCATTCTGAGTGTTATACTAGTACATCATTGTCAGAACTCTTTAGAATCTACATGATAATGAAAATAATGTATTTGGTTCATTTTTCAATTTCAGAGTTTTTAACAAAGTGAAAAGCCGTAGTGCTCATATGAAGTCGCACCGCCCCCCAGATGCTGAGCCAAAGAAAGCCAAGCTGGATCCTCACAAGATGGAGGCAGCAGAGCAAACTCTGGGACGAGCCATGGGTGTGAGTACAACCATTGGTCGGCACACCTGAGCACTTTCTTCCAGTTATCATCTTCTACCTGTCGTAGTACTATAGGATGACATAACCTAAACTGTGCCATGGGTGATATACCAGACTGTAAAGCTGAAGATGTGCCATAAAATGACACAAAGAATTGTGCCAGAGAAGTAGAAACCTTTGATAATCACATCCAGTGCCATAAAAATGGCTGAAATTCATCCAGCAGGAGCAGTTCATGGAACCAGTATGCAAACTTGGAACAACTGGCAGGCTAGAAGTAGCAGTTCTGTAGCAAAGGTTGATGATCTACAATTCCATATGGCACTTACGTCATTATGTCATAAAGATTGCACCTCAAGCTGTGCGTGTTTTTTTAACTGTGCTCAATGAAATATAGCCTCTCTACTTTTGTTGCTCATCTTCCTCTTCTTCTCAACTTCATCATTTTAATTTTCTCTTCTCAGAATGAACAAAGTACAACTGTTCTTGCCAGAATATGACAGATTCTTGTTTTATACAGTTGCCCTCTCTGTTTATATCTTCCATCAAAGTGTTAGCCAGCAGTTTCTCAAGAAAAGTCCATCATAAATACCATAGAGTGAAGTGGAGTGATCCTCTGAACATGCCTACTGTATAGACTCTCAAATGCGAGAGCTGTGGAGTCCTCAGTATGCTGCAGACATGAATCTCTGCCAGAGTCTCTTTGCAAGGTGCAACAAAGCCCTGATTGACAGTATTATCTTTCAAACAGATGTGTAGAATAGTGTTTGGTTCTAATCCACATGTTTTGCTGTCTTTGTTTTTTAAATAATTATTTCTAGCTAGATTTTTGTATAAAGCCGTCGTTATGTTGTTAGCTATGTACATTAGACTATGATTGCATATGTGTACACACATAATACATTTTTGTTATACCAATACCAAAGTGCAGAGCATACTAAGTATAGTGTAAAGTAAAGTGCCTTGTGACTGGGTAAAAGTTGAAAGTTACCCGGATCCAAACTGCTACTCAAAATATGAGTTGGGTCAAGTCAAGTGGAGGTGAAATGATGAGATGATTGGCGCAGCAGCGGACAGACAAGGTGCAAGGAAGCAATACATTACACACAGGGTAGGGTCAATATAATGTTCTCATAAAACAGCATTAATATTGATGAGTGTACATTGTTGATAACAAAACATATTTCTTATATATGGAAAAATGTATATATATACATATATATATTTAACAAAGTCTGTTTATCAAACCTGGACTGCAAATAATTTTGAAATAAAGCTGAACACAGTTTTCAGTATCAAAAATTTCCTAATACTGAAAGTGTGTACATCTTTGCAGCAGTGTTTTCCATTATTCTGCTATGCCATTCTGTAAAATTCTGTAATTCTTTCAGCACTGTGATGCATTGCTCTGTGAGCACATCACATAACTTCTGCACTGAAACTACAGCTGTATGTTTAGTCTAATGAAGCAAGTACTCTCATCAGATGGCAAAAGCATGTGTTCTTGTTGGAGTTCAGCTTACTTAGTATAATTATGTTCCACATAATGATGGGACCGTATCAACTGCCAATGTTATTTATAATTGGAGGTTATGTTGTTGGACTTTTCCTGGTATTTAAAATAGCTTATTCATAAGAATAAGCACAAACTATTATATTAAAACTAAAGCTTTTTCTTTTAATATTTTCTCTTGATGGAAAATACACCACAGTTTGAAATAACTTATTCAGTTATTTAAAAGATCTATTTGCTATTTTTCCATGTTATAATAAGCAGTCTGTTTTACAGTAATGAACCATTTAAAATGTACACTTTCAGTATATTCAGCAAAACATAATTTCAGGTGTTTCCATGTTAGTGCATGAGTGGCTTCTAATAGTGCTTCCACCAGTAGCCTTCTGAATTTACCATGTATAATCATTGTATCCCTTTATACAAACATACAAGATGACTAATATTTCTGTAGTAATGTAATATGTTTTAAGCTGTGAAACTAAACCAGCATATCTACGGATTTTATATCCTGTGTGAATCTACCATTAATTTAATAGCTGTTATTGTAATATAACATTGTTGACTCATGACTGAAAAAGCTGAGCTGAGACATACATGTTGAAAAGTGCACATGAAAGTAGCAGGAGAATACAGAAACAGCTATGTTTTACCAGCAGACAAGCAGGCAGTATATACTTCTCCTTTTACAATTAACACAACGTCTCTCTTCCTAATCTTCATTACATGCAGTCTTCCTCACTCTTCACTCTTTAACTTCTGTTACTTGTTCTGTACCAGTTTTTCACTTGTTCTCAGGTCTCCAAATTTTTGTCTTTTTGCAGGAGACCAGTTCAGCACTTTATTTGATCGTTTCGGACAAGGCAGCTCTCAGAAATTTCCCTAATCTCTTTCTCTTTTTAACTTAATAGGTCACATCTCCCATTATTCATACAATGAGGTACATGTCTGTACTTTTCAAATTTTTCAGTTTAAATGTGTTGGAGCTTTGATGATAAAATTCAATCTCAGGGGCTTTCAAACAACTTTCATAAATGTAAACATCTTTTACATTGTGAGAAATGACTTACTATTGCAGACAATGACTCTGACAAAAGACAGACCTGTCCCCTTGTCAGAGAGGGCACCCCACAATAACAAGACTCGAACTATTAAACATTAATAAATATCTGGTCATGAGCGCCAAATGGGGTTCGACACTAAGCCTGACTGACTGAGTGACTGACTGACCATCAGTTACAATGTGACTTTGACTTTGACTTGAGACCAGTCAGTTCTTAGCGTAACTCTGAGTACAGCAGAAGCAAGCTCTCATCCAACAAAGGGAATAAAAGACTTCACCAAGGTTAGTGGTGCAAGAAGTAACTATAACAGAGTTGTAAAAAACGTCTGACAATGCTGTAAGTGTATGATAATAGTACTTGTGTGCTCAATAAATATTCACTGAATCTGAGACCCACATGAAATTATTCGTTACGTTACCTAGGAGACAGAAGTAGGTTATCAGGTAACACATGACACTATATTGTACATGAACCTGTTAAAATACAGAATTGTATATTTGATCTTATTTATTCTACTGTCCTCCACTTCCACCCATACAATACTTTCCCATCAGCTATTCTTCAGTTGTAAGTAGTTGGTTCAGTGGGAGGTAAACTTCCAGTAACTTCCACAGTTGTTTGCAAATTATCTCATCTCACTTTATTGCCTCCTAATGCCATGGCATGACGTAGGTACTGAGAGAGGGAATGCAACCCTGAAAGGCCACCTTGAAAATAAGCTTCTAAGGGGTAGCTATGAAATCTAGACTGTCTTACAACCCTAACTATTATGATCTTTTAAGAATTGCTATGCATTGCTAGCTTTTCATAAGCACATGACAAAGAGACTGGCCAAATGACAAGGTTATTGTCATACCACCTTGTAGTCATTTTTATGAGAGTTTGCAGTAGGCATGAAACATTTATCTTATGTCTGACTGTGCCCCTTTAAATTCACAACAGTACATCTGACTTGTATATATGTGGGGATTCATTCAAAATCCTGGCTGACTGTGCTGACTGCTGTTGTTAATTGTTTCCTTGCTACCAAGCACTGCAGCAGTATGCATTTTAAAATACCCACAGCTGCTTTGTTCCATGTCACACTCATTTCACCATTTATAATACCTCATTCCACACAAATGCTTCAGCTGATAAAAGACATAACCTATAATTTATTCACAGTTCGCCCTGATAAGTTATTTTTCTACTGTTTAATGATGCAGATTGCATGTTTGCATTTAACCTCCCTTTCCACCACTAAAGATACATGCTTACTCAGTATTAGTGACACTCAACATTTTATAAAATTTAAAAAAAGTTGGGATGATATGAAGTGTGAATACCTTTAATGTCCATTACCTCCATCTAAAACAAAATAAAACTCACATAATAGTGGATAGCACTTGTGTTTCTTAGTCACAAGGTATCCGAGTTTGAATCAAAGCTGGATTTGGCTATCTGGAAGTTTCCCATAGGTTTCATGAGGCCATTTCCTCTTCCTCTGATTTGTTTCCTAGCTTCTAGTATATCATCCCGTTATCTACATTGATCTGAAATCACTGAAGTTGACACACGTAAAAATAAACCATTTACTTGAAGCTTCTTTTTATGTTGTATAAGGTTAGTAAGTTTGTTCCTGTGTTTAACAAATTAAGCACTATGCCATGAAGATGTATGCAGGAGTGGCTGTATAGATCCACATTTTCTTGACCTCGGTACTAGGTGGAAGTGAGTGGTCAGCTTCATGCCGCGGCTCCTTTAGTCCCAGGGAAAGAGCCCCCCCCAGTACCCATTGGATAGGAGGTTGGGTGGACCCCAGATCTGGTTGGACAACATTGAGTAGAGAAAATCCTTTACCCTACCAGGACTCAAACACCGACCCCTCACTTGTCCAGCCCGTAGCTAGTTTGAATGAAAATCAGATTCGCTTTATGACATTTAGAATAAACCTCCTTATACTAAATCATATCCAATATCATGAAGCAGTTTCAGAAATGAAATGTAGATGGAGAGGCAAATAGACACAGTCTCTCCAGTAGGTGTTCCATTGCATAGAGAATGAATAATAAACACATGCCTGAATACAAGTTTTGTGAAAAGACAATGCATAATCTTATATAAAGTAAAACACTGATACAAGTGCAATGAACTGAGAAAAATATGTTAATGCATCATATATCTAGACTTAACATGATAAATTTCATTATGGATTTATAGAAGGGATTTATGTGGAGAGTAAACCTTGAAGGCACCTTCTGTTGGATAGTCACAACACTGGAAACACCTTTGAATTGTGTTGCGGTATAATACCTGAATGAAATTATCATATATTAAGCGCTATGAATATTCTTCCTTGTATCGACGGTTATATATAGCATTTATCATACTCAGAACATCAGAAACTCTCAGATTTTAACAGATGTTGTTTTGTTTGAAAAGAAATATTGATCCCCCATGTGTACATGTGCATGTACATATGTATACAGTTTATGTATTTATATGGTGGAATACATGCACATACTGTATGTAAGCTTAGCTTGGTACAAAAAGAGATTTGTTTCCTGTTTTAAATACAGTAAAATATGTTTCCTTGGCTACAAACTTCCTTTCAGGTTTTGCTGCCAGATACTTTGCTCTGTGTTGTGATAAATACAATTTTATTGTGTCTTTTGAACTATGTACAGGTCAGCTGACAGCAGGAATGTGTGTACCCCACTATAATGACAATCCTCACTCAAGAGTAAACAAATTTTAACTAAGAGTTTAGTGTATGAATATGTGCTGTATGATAGTGTATATGTGAATGCTTGTGTATATAAATCTATTTAAAGAAGAGCAGGATCTATATATTTTATGTTCGTTGTTGAGGCTGTATCAGTTACCTAAGTTCTCATAACTATTGTGAATCATAGCATTTTAAGAATAATAATATGAACAAAAATTGCAAGTTTAGGTGAAACTGTTAATGAAATCGTTGTTAGCGGATGGATATTGTTAGTTAGATTCCTCTGTCAGTTGACTTCCTCTGGTGTTTGTTGTTATGTATCGGGTGCTAAGGTCACTTAATTGTTAAAAAATCATTATTGTTGTGTGAATTCTTGTGTACATCAGACATTACGGTGAACTTTTTCAGTGTGATTTCAAAAAACAGAAAACAATCAAGTAATATTGCTGTGGTCTTTCAAAAAAAAATTACCTGATAATGTCAAACTAGTGTTTTAATTATACAGTAGATTTTTAACAATCAATAGTATTAATCTATTGTTCATGTGCCTGGATTTGTATCTGTGCCAACAATGACTGGAGTGTGGAAAGGGACACATGTTGCAAAATGATCTCATAATCATGACGAGCCATGACACTCGAGCAACTCTTTCCGACTGGATTTTATATAGTCAACCGTACATTTACTCTAGTACTTAAGTTTTCTGCCAAAAAAGGATACCCTTGTGTGCCGTGAAGACTAGGGAGTAAGCATGCAATAAGCTAGCTCATTATATTGATGTACGTATTAATTCTGTGGTGGCAGCATTTCTTCCTTAGAGCTGCTATGTAATTCTCCTGACCGATCCCGTCCCCTCCGCCCTAAACCCAACCCCACCCCTTGCTCATTATGGGCCCCACGCTCTGCTCATTCTCCAGTATGATTGTAGCAATGTATATCGGTTATATTTGGTAATCCTTCTTTGTTTCACACTCAACACTACAAAGCACACATTCAAGACTCAAAAATTATTGTATGCCATAATATGATGTATTATAGCTCAAGATTATACATATTTTTTGTTTAAATACTATCTCACAATTTTCACTTCCTAGATGACAAAATTAATATTTCTGTACGTAGGGTGGTGAGGCCAAATACCAGAGTGTTCAACGGTACTAGTCGAAACTTTCGCTGTTAGGTTTGTACTTTGTGATCCAAAACTACGTGGAAGAACAAACATGTTGTTAGAACTGTAAAATATCTGTTATATATTTAACTTGTTTTTTATAAGCATTGAATATAACTGACAGAAATGTGTACTTTCCAAATTCTTATAAATTCAGTTATTACTTTTCATTATTTTCACTTTTCTGAAAGGATGTGTATATTTTTATGCACAATAATCTGTTAGTTGTTTTGAATATATGTGCTATTAATTGACATATAATAAGATGCTGTACTTATTACAGATTTAAATTTGAAGTCTGTAACAAAATGTATGAGCCATCATGGCTGTGTTGGGCAGGTCTGATGGCATCAGCTTGTCATTTCCATAATAAGAGCAGATCATATGTAGTGTGCAGAAATGTGGAGCAGATCTGGGGGAATACTGAATATATTGCAGTTTTTGTGGTAAGAACAAGGGGAGGTACTCAGATGCACAAGTTCTTTTTTGCTTACTTGGGAGTCTTTTAAAATGTATACTTCATTAACTTCTCATTGGAATGTGTGAAGGATTTATTTTGACTCAGAGTGAAATGTGTCAGGACCATGATCAACTTATATTTATAGAATTAAAATGGTAATAATTGTTTTTAACGTAAGAATTAGGACCATTTGAGTATCTTTACTCTTCTATGTCTTTCAGTACATATACTTCAGTCTTTTATTCTACAAGTAATTCTTGAATCTCAGTAACTTCTTAAGAACTTCAGTGGAGCTTTTGCTAATGTAATCATCCTAATTAATCTCTGTTCCTTACACATATACTTTGACAAAATATTAGTAGCATATCATTACAGGGGTATGCTTAAGTAGAAATTCAAGTGGATCACACACGTTACTTCTGATGACTACGTCACACTTCATCACCTCTGTGTACCTCAAGGAGAGCATGTTAACAGTACTCTCTCTTCCTTGTAGTTTAATTTAAATTTGTTTTTATATGGTGAAATTTCTATGGTATGTCATCGTACTTCTTTGTGAATTCTGCTCTGAAATGCAAGCTGATGGAGCTCTAACCTGCAAGCTAGTCGTAGAGCTGCATTATTAAGATGTATCCAGTAAGTTCTTCCAGGTCATGGAAGATGCCTTGCACAGTAGTCAAATATAGGTCACTGCATAGTATTCCATTATTTGGAGTCTATGTTCTACTTTCTACCAACTGTTGACTGCTGTTGAGGGTGTATAAATATTGTAAAATAGTTCAGTACTTCTACATCGAGGTCAAAGAAAACCAGTGTTTAGGATAAACGTGTGGAAATTAGGTCTAGCTACAAAGGCTTATTTGTTCCCAAACATTATTACTACTACAAAATATATGCTACATGTTATACCTGTTATGATAAACCATATTTTATGATGTTGCTCTTCAACATTTTTCATTGAGCCAAGACAAATCTACTGCTATCCTTAATAATCATTGATGCCAAGATGAAGACAAAAAAAAAACATTACTCCATAGTTGGTGAGTTTCATGGTAGTGTGTCTGTGTCATGTACTCTGAAGTAATGAGAAACATATCAGTGCTTCAAGGTAACTTAGGAAGGCGTGGTCCTCATTGCGGGAACAAATTTGCCTTTGTTGCCAGAAGCCAGTTCATTAAACAGCCTGAAACAAGAGGAGGGGGATGTATTATGCACATTCCACTTGTCAAAGCTCAATATATAACCTCCATGAAGCATACTCAAAGGGATTTCAAAATGAAGTGAAATTTC